TGATATACTTAGTTATTATGTGAGTAACGTGTTATTGTTGAAGACAGAAAAAGTTAGTTGGAATTTATTAAAATTGTGTGTCATTGAATTATAGACATTTTTTAAAGCTATTTATAAACTTAGAGGTTAGATTAGGCTTTTTTATTTTTATTATAGAAGATCTATAGCTCATGCAGATTGATATGATATAGCTTTATCTTTGTATAAAACTGAAACTAAAAGTGTCAGATGAAGAGTGCAAATATCCCTTTGAGCTTGTTCGTATGCATGATATATGTAAAGAGGGGATAGATCTTTCTAAAAGACCAAAATCTCCTATATTGAGGTTTTTTTTTACATGTGTTATGTCCCTATCAAAGCGGCAAATCACCTAATAATTGTCTCTGTGATGAATTCAATGTTTAGTTAATTATCTTTACATTTTTTGGCTTATTTTTTTTCTTCAAGATTAGTATCAATCTGAATATACATTTATTCGGTGAGGTATTTATGAACAAAATGTGTTTGTTCAGTCATAAAAATGGATATATTCTGACAAAGTATGGAAAATTTGATTTTAGAAAAAAAGATGCAACCATTGCAAAAGAGGAAAGAAGCCTAAAAGCAGAGCTTGTGTAAGGAACGTTTGAAACAGTTTTTTTTTAAATGTTACTGTACGAACATCATCATAATAACATTGTTATATGGTCGAGGTATAAGGAAACCGCTCTATGCCAAGTTTGATATTGAAACCCGACTTTCTGACTCTGAATAATAACTCTCCAAGTTCACACTCCCAATCTCTGCTAGTTTAGGCAATGAGAGTGATATGAAGTTTTCAGATGGTCTGATCGTTTTAATTTGAAGGAAAAAAGAAGAGGAAGACTGGATATCCAAATGGTTTACCAAATTTCATTTTACAAAACATTTGCTAAATGTTATATTATCACATTCGGCGAATTTAAGAGAGTTCAAAAATTCTGAAGCTAAGTTTTAACGTTAATTAATCGAAGATGTTTTTTTTTTTATTTACATGTAAATAAGCTAGGGTTATACTAGGCTGTAGCAGGTATCAATATCTTTAATTCCCATTTCATTTCTGGTTATAGCCTCAGAACATATAGAAATATTATAATTCATCTTTACCTTGATATGGTGTTTCAACTCCTACTGGAACACACGGTAAATAGAGCCTTGTTCACCGAGTCAGCTTTATGCCGTAGAAATGAATCCAAGGGAAACCTTTCTCCGAGTAAATAAAATTGAAAAAAAATTAATAGACACACCTTAAATTGACGCAATCATTTATATCTACGGCCAAGTGCGTATCACACTTAGCTGTATAGGTTGTACAAAATAATGCTTTAACTTATTTTAATTTGAGTCTTTCCTGGTTTCGGTTATCTGGTGCTAATACCTTTTCAATGGGTAGTTTCTGGCTTTGATTGATTATCTGATTATCTTGATTCTCAATCATGTTTCCAGAGATCAAAATCAGGAGGTATGCAGGGGCGTCGCTAAAGTTGGGGGGGGGGGGGGGTGCGACACTCGCCCTCCCACCTATCAGGATCTTGTCGGTAAAACTGCGCTGCCATCGGGAAAAAAATGAGAAAAGGGGGAGGGGAAAATGAAAGGGAAGGGGAAAAAAGAGAAAAAAGAAATGGAAAAGAAAGAAAGAAATGAAAAGAATGGAAAGAGAAAAAAGAAAAAGAGAAAGGAGAGGGAAAAAAGGAAAAGAAAAGAAAGGAAAAGAAAGAAAGGAAAGAAAAGAAAGAAAAGAAAAGAAAGGAGAAAAGGAAGGGGAAAAAAGGAGAAAATAAAACAAAAGAAACGCGGAGATGAAAGAGAGGGGTTGGAATTAGATAGAAAGGGGTTTTGTTGGGTGGAGTCGTCTCGTCGAGGGAGCAAGAAAGAAACGCATATACAGTGCGTCCCCAAAAAAACGAAACCGAGACTTATTGATGTTTGATCAGGGGCGTAGACAACGGGGGGGGGGGGGGGTGAGGGGGATGCATCCCCCCACCTCACAAGGTGTGTGGGGGGGGGGGGGTGGCATGTACAATCATCCCCCCAGGTTTTGGGGAATGATATTTGCTTACTTAATAAGTCATAATGATGATAATAATAGTAATAATAATAATGATAACAATTATAATATTAATAATAATAATAATTATGATGATGATAATAATAATCCTCATCATTATTGTAATTGTGTTTATTGTTATTAGCCGCATTCACACGGTGAAAGCCAATTCAGACGGTAAAAAAAAAGAAAATCTTACAAGTGTTTTGTGGTTATCTCTTGGTTTGGAAACCACAAGATAACCACAAGATTAAACAGGCGCGGATCTACGGGGGGGGGGGGGTTTAGGGGGTTTAAACCCCCCCCCCCTTGGGCTGCCCAAAAACAAACAACAACAAAAAGGGGAAAAAAAAGAAGAAAAAAAAAAGAAAAAAAGAAAGAAAAAAGAAAGCACGCTGGAGAGAAACCCTTTCAAGTGCAAATATTGTGAGAAGATATTCAACTCATCTGGTAACTTAACCAAACACATGATAACTCTGGATATAACTGTGTATTTAACTGTTACTTGATTTAAAAAGACGTTATCATGCACTGCTTTTTATGGTCTCCATTGTGTTAATAGATGCCAGGAAAACATCACTTACGGGGTTCAAATAAACACCCCCCCAAAAAAATCGGCTCGCCGCTTCGCGGCTCGTGGACGATGGTCCGCACCGTCATTATTGGTCACCCCCCCCCCTTAGCAAAAAGCTAGATCCGCCCCTGAGTCATCCCCCCAGGTGTACGAACCTGTCTACGCCACTGTGTTTGATCATAACTTAATCACAATTATAATTAATAAATGACACATATTTGTAAAGCTGAGACCCTCCTCTTTCATTTGATGCAACTCATATAATGCATATTCCACGCATGCGTGATTAAAAACAGTTTGGAGAGAGGAAACAAAAAGTCCTTTTTAGGGCGGTATCTGAATTTCAAAGAGAAGATCACATTTCTAGAGCTGCGGGGAAAGAGAGGCTGCAACCCCCTTTCGCATTAACTGCATGTGTTATGAAATTACATTTGAATCCTTGTGGAGTAAATAAACAAACAGCTTGTGCCACAACCATGAATGCAATTAAAACTTCCATTTCTTTGGAATTCCAGAACAATTTGACTCTTGTGGTACTATATGTGTTTCATGACTGTCAAAATATATTAAACTCTTTAAAAAAAAAAATCTTTGCATATTTATATTCATGAATGACTTTATCACTCTCGTTCGCTTACAAAATAACAACGTGCTTATATTACTCGGTATTACATTATTACTATGAATACAATACAAATATAAGTCTCGTTTTTTGTACAAACTACTATAAGAAGCAAAGCCGTCGATTCTTGTTCATTGTTGGGGATGAATTATGTTAGTTAAAAACCCTTCATAGGATACTCAGCCCAGATAATCAGAGGCTACTGCGCAAAATACTATTCTGATAGTGATTGAGGCCCTATACTATTATTTAAGATTCGAATAATAGTTATAACCTATGAAACAATCATGTGAGAGCACTTATGAAATGTTAAGAAAAATACAGGATCTGTTATTAAACCTTAATTCCCATAGTTTATTTTCAGTCCAACAAATCTGCAAGTTAATATTTTGTAGGAATCTTTGATAAATACAAACATCCATTTCAATCACCTTACAGTTGTCTTATAATGAAGAAGGCAGTTTTGCTCGGCTGAAAGCTATCCGTATTAACATGTAGACGTATATTAGATCTTAAACCAAATCCCTATTTAAAAAAAAAAAATTTGCTCCCGAAAATCCGAAAAGTCACTCATTGGGGGGGGGGGGGGGGGGGTTGGCACGAGCTGATGCCAAAATAGGGCAGAATAAGAGTTTTGAAGCGGCCCCTCTATACCGTTAATTTAACATTTGACTGTTGGGCATATAGCTTCTAAGGACATCCAAAATAATGTGCCCTTTTCAAATTTCTCACTAAAGAGTGATGACCTTTGTAGCGCAGGGGTTGTTTCAACGTTTAACTTAGAATCCGCGGCTCGGGATTTTATGCGACCCCCTCTAGTCAATAATGTCTCCCATGCCTTCTGGAATGACCCCCAATCTCACGATTACAATTCTGCTCCTCTTTGTAGGAGCCGCGCGCAGCTTTATCAGGAGTGATTTTACTTGAACCTCTTTTTGATAAGCCTTAGAAACATTGTTTTTAAGCGCATTATAAATATAATGTATTATTATTATTATTATCATAAATATAATATGCTGGATTCCGACCCAGATTGCACTGATGATAGAATGATCATCTCCAATACGCTTGCAGTTCACTTCCCACTCCTCCTTATTCCCTTATTCATCGTTGCATCGCTGTCATTTACGTATGACCGGCCCCCTCCTCAATGACGGCTCCCAAGCCTTCGGGAATGACCCAAATATTCTGCCACTCTTTGGAAGGGCCGGCTGGCCGCAACCTTTTCAGAAGTGCTTTTACACTAACCTGTTCATTCACTACGGCTTAACATAAACATGCCTGCTCAGTAATTTTAAATAAGCTGAATTCCGACTGAGTTTTGCACAACCTACATTACAATACGGTCAGCCACCCCCCCCCCCCCCCTCCCCAGTTTTTCCCTTATTCGTCGTAACTGTCAACCCGGCTTCTCTTTTCTTTAGACTATCTCTTCTTCTTTTTTTTTTCTCTCTCTCTCTTTCGTTTCTCTTCTTTTCTTTTCTCTTCTCCTTTCCTTTCTCTTCTCCTTTCTTTTTTCCTCTTCTTTTCCTTCTCCATTTTTGCTTCCTCTTATTTTTTTTGCGCCGCCAATAGAGGGGCCATGGCCGCTTCGCCCCCCCCCCCCCCCCTCCCTGGATCCGCCACTGCAAGTCAAGTATTATGCATAGAAAAATAATCATCAACCCAAGTTTGAGTCTGCGTGACTCTGATTGGTTCAAAGTGTACGCATACTGTACACGTTGGATCATGTTTAATAGCGCCATCTACAGGAAAATTTCTTATAGTACACAAACTTCTCACGTGTGAAATCGAAGATGACTACCGAGAGTGGAATTCTGAAGTATGAGGGTTGTAATTTCTTCCGTCAACGCATGGTCCTTGCAACCCTCAGTGGAAAGGCTATCTGTATCAGTAAAATCAGGCATAAGGATGATGATCCAGGACTAAAAGGTAAGATCACGCCTGACCTTATCGTGTGAAGAACCACGGCCTCATTTACAACGTTCCCATAGGTTGATTTTCATGTTTGTACATCACTCATCATTCATGCTCAGTTAGTCAGTGAGATTGATTTTTTTTTAGACGCCCTCTAATGATTATCAAAACTCTCAAACATGATAGAACACATCTCACCAGAATTCACTTAAGTGACGATCTATGACACCTAAATAGCAGTATGATACAATCAATTCAACTCGGTGAATGGTCAATGTTGGAAACAATTTTATTTTATTTTAAATCGGAAATCTATCCTCAATCCCAGTGAGCAGTTGGGGCGCTGGTCCGAGAATGAGGATCGTCCGTGTAAACGAGGATATCCTTGTATATGTGGACAAAATGCTTCTTGAAGATAGGGATCAATCATATTTTTCTTTCGGGTTCCCGATCTACGCGCTTGCGATGCTAAAAATGGATTCCGCGTAATAAAATACCACCAGTTCATCGTCTACCTATACTTATATAGGTTGTCCGTCATCCAGAGGATTTATCGCTCATAACGTGAAAGTCTCTGTACAAAGTCAATGTAAAACGGATCAAGAAAAATCCTTGTGGAATCCGTTTTTTTGCATCGCCAACGCGCGGATCGGAAATTGGGCCTATGAATGAGTATAGAGTTATCCTTTTCATACATAAATTTGTGTTCTTTTGCCAGACTTTGAAGCAAGTTTCATCCGTCTCCTGGACAAGATTACCAATGGATCATACATTGAGGTCAACCAGACTGGTAAGAAATAGTAAAACCTTGTTTGCAGCGGCTTCCTTTAAGATGACGTTAAGTGTAATATGCTTCACATTTCTGTTTCATATAAAAAAAAATTTAGTGCTCACTATCATTCCTGGTTAAACTCTGACTTACTCACCAAAATGGTAAAGGTTCTCATCCTAAATGGTCATGTGGAATATCTTGTCTGATTGCAGGAACCCAAGTGCGTTACCAGCCTGGCCTGTTGATGGGTGGTACCTTTGATCATGATTGTCATGTCCAGAGAGCCATAGGGTACTACATGGAAGCCCTCGTATGTCTTGCTCCGTTCGGTAAGAAACCGGTCAAGGCGGTCTTAAGAGGAGTGACCAATGACCAACTTGATCCATCGGTAAGTAGAATTGTTGCAAGCTTACGGTGGGTTATTTAATGCTTGTGGCAGGACCAGGGGGGCGTTTCACAAAACTTGTCATCAGTGACAAATGACAGTTTTTGTTATAAGCTACTGAAATCCTTGCTTCTGATAAGTTATCAGCAGATTTGTCACTGATTTTTGTAATTTGTCATTGAAAAAAGGCTTTGTGAAACGGGGCCCAGGTTTAGACTCGATACGATACATCCATAGCAGTGACCAATTTGATATGCTAGAACCAATGCTAGAAAGGAATGTGTATAGATCTAATTAGTTCAAACATAAATTTCTGATTCTGTAGAGAAAGTACATGTTTGTAAGTAAATGGGACTGTTCATTTTGTACCATAAGCATGTTCTGCATCTGTTATTTCAGCTTCGATTTATTTAAGATTTAGTGATCTATGTTTAAATAGAAGGTTATTCTTCACGTACCCTTTATTGTCATTTTTAAAACTTCTTTAGTTCTGAGGTAATCAAATGATATAGACCTTAAGTTAACATAAGGAGTGAAGAGCATATTCAGACTTAAAAGTGAGAGTGTCTATGATCCTTAATCTAAGTTGTCTTTTGTTCTTTCTTTCAGGTTGATGTGATCAAGGCAGTGACATTCGCTGTTCTCAAGAAATTTGGAATCGATGAAGGATTAGAATTAAAGGTAGGTAGAGACAAGTCTGTAAAATTAAAATGTGTAAGTACCTATACATACATTTTGATTTGATTTGATTTGATTTGATTTATTGGTTTCTGCATCTTTTTTTTCTTTTTCATCATACATTTTCATGAACATAATATGGTTTGATACAATATTTTAAGTGTATATAATTTTATACAGATAATAAACAAAATTAAACAAATATATTGAATGCATAATTAACATACATTAGATGCAGGAGTGGTACAAAAATAAGCAGAGTAACTTGACATGCTTCAGTGACACTAGATAGCATTATAGCGTGAAAGCAGTTTACTTTATATACATCAAAAAATTATTCTCTTGATAATGATTTATTGATTTTGCTGAGGGTGGATACATGAATGAATGAAATTCAAAATATTTGCTTTGTTTTTTTAAATTTGATTTGACAGAGTAACAGTAAATTGACAAAAATATTGGTTATACCCTCCCCCACCCCCCCCCCCCCCCCCCCCCCCCCCCCTTCACCCCAAATTTTGATATTACATTTCTTGTACCTTCTTACATTAGACTTTTTTAATTTCCATTTTCACCTATTTTAAACATATCTCAAGGAAACAATACCACGTAGAATTCTATTTTTAACTTGCTTGCAGGTGAACAGACGAGGGGCACCCCCTAATGGTGGGGGAGAGATACTGTTCAGGTGTCCTATCATACGTAACCTTCGACCTCTCCAGCTCACCAAGCCAGGCAAGATCAAGAGGATAAGAGGCGTAGCGTATCCTTTCACAGCGATCAAAATATTCTATAAATTTGAGAGGGAGAGAGAGAGAGAGAGAGAGAGAGGGGGGGGGGATACCAATAGACAGGTAGAGAGTGAGATGTAGACAGCCAGATATTTTGTTCACAATATCCTTTAGTATGTTTAAGGGAGAGAAAGGAGGGGAGGGACAGGAATTTCAGACAGGCAGATGGGGAGAGAGAGATGGACTACATGATTTAGATTGAATATTGTTTTCACAGTTACATGACAGATTTTCAGAGTCGATCAGAGCAAAGTCGTGTTAGGAAGAGAGAGAGAGAGAGAGAGAGAGAGAGAGAGAGATCTGAAGAGAGATAGAGAGAGATAGACATACAGAGAGAAAGAGACTTGGAATATTTTCACTTTCATATCTCCATATTAAGAGTAATGGGATCATTTCGATTTGGATTGTCGTACAATGAGACAGTCTTTTAACAAAATGAAGCACGGGTGTGAATACTTTCATCCATTACCAACGAACCAAGTCTGCTACGTCCATTGTTAATTGTTATCAAGATATCTGAGACATTTCTTTGACCAAGTTGGATTTAGATATGCCATGAGAGTTTCCCCCGCCACACCAAACCGAATAGTCGATTCAGCTCGGAGCATCCTCAATCAGTTCCTACCAGATATCTACATATACACCGACCATATGAAAGGACCACAGTCCGGAAAGTAAGTGATTTTATGTACAAGTGTGTATTGTTGATATTGGGGGTCAACTTACTATAAGGGTATTTAATCTTTTTGTCGACCCCTCATTCTCCTAATTTGTTTTGTCCAATTGCTTTGTATTGTTTTCTATTGATGATACTCTGTTGTTTATTTAATTTTCTGCAGTGCTTTATAGAGACTAATAATTTTTTTTTTTTTAAACTGGCGTAAATATTCATAAATGAATGATACACGCCATTAAAATCTAAAACAACAACAACAACATGCAAAATTCTATCTTGAATAGTTATCTTGAGATAAAAGTGTATGGTTCAATGGAAGGTTAGTGATGTTGTAACTGGCATGTACTGATAGGTCTAATGTTTGCTTATCTACAACCATGTGATTTGCTTTATTAGCGGTTTGGAAAAGTAATGATCATCATCATAATAATCATTGCAACTATCATCATCATGATGTATTTTGATGTCAAAACAACTGAAGTATCAAATATGGGAGTTTACAGATAGCACATGGTGCAAATGACCCCAAATATCCACAGATCTTTTACACAAGGAGAACTTCTACTTTGAGCATCTTAGAATAATAACTGCCAAAGTCCTAGATGTGCTTCATGAATACCTTTTGTTTGACCTCTTGAAAAGAATACTTCCACCTGCGTATTATAGAATGTACCGTTGGTGCATAAATGAATAATGTTACATAACTTTCATGAGCGCATATCCAGTATTTATCTCTGTGGGTTTTACCATTTTGGTACAAATGACCTTTATCTGCCCATGCACAGATTGTATCTGTAAACTCCCTTATTGGAACATTTTAAGTCTTCCCCCCCCCCCCATCATTTAATGCACATAAAATGATACTTTGTACAAAATAGAGTTAATAAATGGCAGTGACAAAAATATGATGGAGTATATCTGTGAAGTGGCGACTGCTATAGAATTTGTTTTCCTAATACATCTCAATATTTATTTCATGAAGTAAAACATACATATCATTTGGATAAATCCATGATTATTAGAACATTAGCACTAGTGATAACTGACATTACACTCTTTTCATTGTTCAATGTACACAGGTCTCCTGGTTTTGGGTTGTCGTTGGTTGCCGAGACGACGGAGGGGAACTTCATCTCAGCTGAAACAGCATCTAACAAGGCTGGAGAAGAAGCTAGTATTCCTGAAGATCTTGGCAAACAGACAGCTTTGCTACTCATGGAAGAGATATACAGGGTAAGATGTCTAAACACCTGGGGGTGTTTCACAAAGATCCTAAGTTGAGCTTATCTTTAAGTTGGACTTAACAATTATGGAAAACCTTGAGCATCTATGAAAATATTTTGTAAAAGTTTTTTTAAATGGCATAAGATGTTGATTCAAATCATTCATATTTTCTATATCAAGGAGATGTCATGTTCTTGTTGTGGAATTTATAAAAATTCAAAAATATTTGAATTTCCACTTTTTAATATATTTATTTTAAGGCCACAAATGGCTCTCCATAATTTTAAAGTCTAACTTAGAGTTAAGTTCGACTTAGGATCTTTGTGAAACACCTCCCTGGGACCATATTCATAAAACCTTACTAAACTAGTTGTCAATTACTTACATTAATTACTTAGGCTGTAGTTAATAGCTGTCATAACTGTTTCCCTAAACATCCAATTCATTTATTTGTCATTGATTTTAAAATGTGATGTTTTACAGTGGAAAATAAATGATATGATTTATTTCATACCATTCCATTCTTCTTTTTGATGCAGGGTGGGTGTGTAGACTCCAGACACCAGTCACTCGCTTTGTTATTAATGACATTAGGTCAAGGAGACGTCTCAAAGATTGTTACAGGGCCCCTCTCACCTTACACGTAAGTCTACCAAGATAAATCTACAGTATCGGAACATTATTTCACGAAAGCGTCACAAGTACATGTGTTAAACTTAATACACTTATTCAATGGGTTGTTGGCAAACTTGATCTTATTACAGGTTCCGTGAAATGCTAACATATTTAGAATGCTGCCTGAGCTTAGGCTTGACTACATAACTCTGAAATAAGCTACATTGTGACAAGCGTTCAATTAAACATATAGCTTTAGAAGTGATTAAATAACTTTTTTTAATACAGTGTACATGTATATATATTTGCGATGTGTATTTGTAAATTTTTTCATAAAAAAAAAGTGATTACTCTAGTCAGAAAGATCAACAATAAGTCACAGACTTCCCCCAAATTTAGGTGTGTTTTGGTGCCCTATTTGCAAAACAAATGTAATGAGTACATGATAAATAGAAATAGAATGATAACTAATGAAAAGTACATGAGATAGTGGTTGTGGCTTCAAGCAAATTTGATAAGTCGCAAATATAAACACCTGATTTGCAACAAAAAAAATTCACTCAAAAAATATTGGCTTAAACAGTAAGTCTTGGTTATGCACAGTTTCATTTTGTACCTTACCTTACCATAAAGGAAAACTTAGCTTTCAGGATATGCCCCCCCCCCTCTCTCTCTCTTTCTCTCTCTCTCTCTCTCTTTCTCTCTCTCTCTCTCTCTCTTTCTCTCTCTATCTCTCTATTTCTCTCCCCCTCTCTCTATTTCTCTCCCCCTCTCTCTCTCTCCTTACTATTTCGCTCTTCAATCTAATCTCCTTTCGAACCCTTTCTCTCTTCTCTATCTGTCGACTCCTTTCTTAGGTTTTCCCTATTATTACATACCCTGTAATACATGTATATTTATGCCTTTTGTTATGTCATGACTCTTGTATGATTTTATGTACATTTATGTGATGTATATATATGCCTAAGTGTTTATCAATCATTGTAACTACATTGTATTTTGTCTATGTGCCGCCAGTGGAGGCCAATTTTCTATGATTTGAATATGGATCAATAAAAGAATCTATTTGTTTATGTTTGACCCCACAGGATACAGTTCCTCAGGCATCTGAAGGATTTCTTCCGGGTCATGTTCAAGATGGAGGTGTTACCTAGTGAGGTCGATGAGGATGGGTCAAAGAGGTCAGGAGGAGACAAAGTGCTCCTCACTTGCATCAGCTCAGGATTTACAAACCTTAGTAAGACGGTCATGTGAATACTGACTGTTCATGACATACGTATACATGTGCTAAAGCCAGTTCTATGGCTTTAAAAGCAGAGAGCTGAAATCATGAGCTCAAAGATCACGAGAGTTTTGGGGTAAGACCGACCCCAACCCGAGGATACTGAAAGCCTGAACTTAACTGAGCATGGACCCCTTTAGCTTACATGGAGAATGGCTACTCTTTGGATCTCTGATGCAAACTTTGTTTTGGGATTCACCTCTAGCCCAGTTCTAAAGCCTTAGACCAGGCATCTGCAGATGGTCATGTTTCTACTGCATTCCTTCTTTAATGTGTAGTTGGAAACACATTAGAGCTACACTTATTTATGGCATGTGTTGGTGATGACTTTGGAAGTAACATGGTGCAGGCAAGCAAGATTGAGGTCGTAAATGGTAGCGGAACTTTAAATTATGAATTGGCAAATGAGGAAAAGATAGAGAGGAATGCAGAGATGAGGCACTTCAGATCTAAAAGAAACTAAGTTGTGTGTCAAGTCAACATCTATGTCTTCAATCACAGTATTGAATTTATCATGTCTATAAAAGAAGTGGAATTCCAAAATATTGGCCTACACAGAAAATTGAGTACATGTACATGGAATTGGAATTATATTCTCCAAAATTACCTTTTTAAAATCATTTTTATGCCTTGCCATTTTCAAATAGTAACTTAGCTCCTCATGTGGGCAAGTGCAAGGTATTTGGTCACTTGGAATAGTGTTCCATACGTAACCAAATATTATGATATCATGAACATGAATTGACATGAGAAGTATCATTAACTTGTATTTGATCTGATCCAAGCTCAAGTAGTGTTTCCTAACTTTTAGTCATCAGATATAGCAACTTGTCCATGAAGTGAGCAGATTGCACTTTTATAGAGACAGTGTTTCAACAAAAGTCAAGAAATTACTTTGACCTCATCTTTTTAATAAAAGTACATCGAAAAATATACAGGCAATATTGCATGTCATTTTCATTTTTCTGGGAGCAAGAGAGAAGAAGATAGAGTTAGAGAAGAATAGGTCTTGGAAGTCGAGAGAGGATCAATAGGAGACAAGAAGAACATAGAAGATGTTTTGATATTACAGAATGAGAGAGGGAGGGAGAGAGAGAGAGAGACAGAGAGAGAGATACTGAGAAAGAGAGAGAAAGAGAGAAAATAGATAGGGATGAAAGAGAGAAAGAGAGATAGCATAAGAAGGTGATAATACTTGAATAATAAATACCAGTACGTGAAAAGAAGAGGAATATATTTAGCAAAAGATAAGTGGTTGGATAAGATGATTTATTTTGGTTGTGTATCTGCCTTGTTCTTTTAATTTTTTTTAAATGACGTAATATTTATTAACACAGAGGCCAGTGTAATATGTTGTGTGTATTACTGTTGTTTCTCGCAGTTGCCAGTCATTTATGTGTAACACCAAAAAAATTGTGTTATACCATTTCATATCTGAATGAGCCTTGAATGATTTTATATTTTGGTTATCTTAACTTTTCTTTCATATCTTGTAACCTGTCATATAACATACAAGAATACAACTACATCATCACACTATATACAAAGAGTCTCACAATAAAATGTATTTCTACTTCACCATATTTTATTAATATAATAGTAAATAGGGTAGGAAGCTATGAACATATACAGACATGGCTGTACAAACATACATACTTACAAACATATACATGTAAATAATCAGTGATTGTAGAAAATGCTGATATATATGCTGCTCAAGAGCAGAATGTGCGTATTTATCCTGGCAAATAAAAACCTCCCACAAAAACCATCTATACATCTCGACAGCATCAATCTGCTATTCAACAGAAACCATCAAAAGTATTCTACAAATAATGATATTGCCATCAAAAGTGTGATATATTTCATCTAATTATTACATTGAATAATAATTTATTAAGATATCTCATTCAAATATAAAAAAGTTTCAGTCTATGGAAGCCAATAATTATACATCTGTATGAATTGTGTCATGTGACACGGTCAAATAACTCATTCTCCATCTGAATTGAATAGATAATCTACAATGTAACAATAACATAATTTGGGCACATGTCTGGCAAAAGTTTGATTTCTACTTTGTCCGTTGGGCTTACTGCAAACGGGGAGATCACCTTCTTTAAAGTATCTGGCAATCATTCAAATATTCCTCCAATGTAATCAAACCATAATAAAACATATCAACATATTAAATGACATCAGATTCAGAACAGGTTGCAAATGGATGTCAAGATTTTGAGGTAAACATTACAATTATGTATTAATAGCATTGACAGGATTCTTCTTAAGAAACTTCTTAAGAATGAAATAAAATATGAGTTATTCATCATTTAAGGTAAATGCTGCCCTCCAAATGTTATGGTATTGCTATTGTTTTATTACTATACATTGATAAATACATGTACAAAACTATTTCTCTTTTATTAAAATAATGGATGTTACTAGTATGTAATGATCTACATACAATATACATGAACATCTACAGTTAACAACTAAATTATTCATACCCTTACCAAGTCTTGCAACTTTTTAAGTGTCGTAATTAACGGTGTATAAACCGCCCTCGTCTATTAACCGCACCCCTCTTTTTCGCCCTAAATTTTTTTTTTTTTGCCAACTCTGTCGGCAGCAAGCCAGGTCCGTGTTAAAAAACCTACGCGGGAAGGCCTTTCATTTAACTGCGAGGTGCAGCTGAATGTGTAAAATCATTAATGTAAATTTTAAAAAACTGTAGAGGACCTAGGATAGAACCTTGTGGAAAGCCGTGTAATAGAAGAAAAATTGGAGGAATTATTATTATAACCTACATATTGAGATCTATCAGAGAGATTACTTTCAAACCAAGATGACAAAAAAATTTGAGTGTTGTTTTAGTTTCCGAGTGGTGAGTCAACACACCGATTACTGAGCTGGGAGACATCGCCAGGTGAAGGGGCATAAACTTTTCTTTTTTTTAATTCATTTTTTTTTTTGGTGTACCGTGTATAAACTGCACCCCCGTCTTTGAATTTTTTTCGGCGGCAAAAAAGGTGCGGTTTATACAACGTTAATTACGGGATGTGAAACATGGATTTGTCCCGATTCACGTTTCTTGAGAATGGGGCATATTAAAGCTTACCAGTATATTGAAAAATATTTGATAAAGGCTCTAATTCAACCAGTCCACCTTTCATTCTTAAGTTAAGAACAAAAAACAGAAACAAAAATATCGACTTTAAAAGGGGTATGAATAATTTAGTTGTTAACTGCCGCATTCCAAACTCAACATAAATATTGATAAAGTCTACCTCTAACCACTATATCCTACCCTCTTGAAGTGATCCTCAGAAATAGGAAGGTTTCCATGGATACAAGAAATATTGGCACAATTTCTTGCTTTATTCCTCTCAAAAGGAGTACTTTCAACATATAATATGTATTTTACATAAATACTAAATGAACACAAACATTGCACTTGGTGTAACCTATATATTAAACATAAAAAATACATACATCTACTCATAAATAAATCTAGATCTGAAAATTACTGAATGAACTTAAGAAAAATACAATAGGAGTAGTCTGACATGAGAATACCTCTCTTAATTATTAGGCAGTTGAGGCAAGAGAGAGAGAGAGTTAGAAACGTAAAGAGATAGGGACGATGAGTAAGAGAAAGCGAGAGATAGGGATTAATAGTAAGAGAGAGAGAAAAGAGAGAGAGAGAAAGAAAGAAAGAGAGAGATAGGGATGGAGAAAGAAAGAAAGAGAGAGATAGGGATGGAGAGAGAAAGAAAGAGAAAGGGACGGAGAGAGAGAGAAAGAAAGAGAGAAATAGGGATGGAGAAAGAAAGAAAGAGAAAGGGATGGAGAGAAAGAGTAAGAGAGAGAAAGAGAGGTGGGAAAGTAAAGAAGGAAAAGAGAGAGAGAGAGAGAGGGGATGATCGGTACACGAGACATGTAGCAGACAAAGATAGAAACAGAAAGATGGGAGGGTAAGAGAAATAATATATTCATCACTAAACAAACATTTCATATACCAGCACCGAATTGATTTGTGATGTTTTAACTTTAAGAAACAGAATAGAATGCAGTTTTTTCTTCTAAAAAGTGAGTGAATGAACAGTCGCCCAAAATAATAACTCTACACGTTACAGTCTCTCTCCTATCAAGGGGGTGACCAAGTACATCTTGGATATACACAACATTTCAGCTTAACAGCAATGTTAACCATAATCGCTAGTTTTGGCTATAATAATAATTACAGAGAATCGTGACTGCAATTTTGTGTAAGTTGCAATGATTAATAATTAACTTTTAATAACTGATAAAAGGGGAATGAATAATTTGTTTGTTAACTGTATTTTTTGGTTGGAGCAATGTGCGATTGAAAATAACTAGTCTGTTTTTTTATTAAGTTATATGTGACATTGGCACAGCAAGAGTTATCAAAAATGTAGAAGATGAACCGGACTGGACAAGATTTGATCATTAATGTAGTGAAACACCTTGGGATACTGTGTACACTGTTATGCACTATGGATTGAAACCATACACTGCCACACTGTTTGGAGTATATGATACAAATGCACTGTTAGCGTGCTAAAGGATGACTGTGGCACTCCATTGTTCATACGATCAGTTGACTGAAGCCGGTAAAGAGTTAAAACATGTACAGCTCTATAACTGCTACTACTGGAAGACATTCAAGAGAGAAACTTTGAGATTGGAGGATTAACAGCAGAAGGATTATCTTCATAATCAGGTGCCTGGCAGAATAGGGTACGCAACTGTATTCCTAACTGACTCCATCTCTTAGAGCCTCTCTGCCAGAGACATGACATCATCATTCATTCTTCATACTTCTATGAACATTTCTACAAAGTTGAATCGTGTAAAATAGAATAATATACCTCTGTTTCTTTAAATATATCTTTCTTCCACTCTCTTCTGTACTTTATTCTTGGTCTCTCTCTCTCTCTCTCTCTCTCTCTCTCTCTCTCTCTCTCTTTCTCTCTCTTTCTCTCTCTTTCCCAATCAACCCCTAAACACATTCTAACAGAGTATAACAGATTGAGAAAGTAGAAGAACATATAATGGCAACTATCTTATCACCAACAAAGCCATCTTTGTTGTTTCATACGACAATTCTTTTCCCATATCACAACAGGAAGAAGAATCTCATTGTATATATAAACAAAAAGTTATCTAACTCACATAAAGTTTGAGATGTCTAAGACATGAAAATATGATTTCTAAAAGAAATGATGATAATTCATGAATCTTCCCCAATGAGAAAAGGTCCAGCCTTCAATCTATTATTCATGCATGGGCGACAACCACGCTGCCTTCTAGCAAAGTTCAAATGTCATAGGAGATGGAGATTTGTACATGTGTACAAGGAAGCATGGTAAAGTCCAGACTGTAGACTGTATAATGTTCAAAGCAGCCTTCTATCACATTGATCACATGGAGAGGCTAGACTCGTCCATATGTCACACAAAGCGAGGTTCCCTGCTTCTCCGCCTCTGTGTCGATGTCTGGCTCTGACCGCCGCTACCCCCAGGGTCTAGTTTCTGCCCGCCCCTGGTTAGCTTCTGACCGGTAGCATCGCCCCCTGGGGAGGAGGGTGTGGTCACCCCTGCACCCATCCTCTGCGGCTGAGGGCTGGTGTAAGCGCTGGGGACGTACCCCCCTGCGGGTTCCCCACCAGACTTCTCCTGGGATGATGACCCAGCTGATATCTGTAGGAGTGTTTGTTTGTTTGGTGAGTGAGGCGTCTTGATGTGATGGCCCATACCTTCACCATCACTGCCCGATCCTGAGGGAGGTTAACACATTGCATTCATTCTATTAATTACAATTGGAAAACATGACCAGGGGAGTGTTTAACAAAGACTAAGATCGACTTTAATTTGGTCTTAAATATGACAGGCCATTCATGCCACTGGTTGCTCTCACCATTGGCCTCTCAATTATGATCTTTGGATAATATTTTTTCCTTCAATAATGAACTATAACAAGGCTAAATTCTGTAGATGTGTGACCATGATTTTAACGTCCCTTGAGAAACCAATGCCACGAATGGTAAGAGGAACTAGTGGTATGATCGGCCTGCCATAGTTAAGTCCAACTTAAAGTCGTCTTAGCCTTTGTAAAACACTCCCCAGAAATTTTTCACACACATGAAACTGACATGAAACGGGTTAGGATTCATGAAAAAATGTTCTCTCTTGAATCTCACTTGCAAAACATCTTGCTGCAGAAACCAGCGTTGTTGACATTTTGCAAGCATTTCTGTCTGAACTTGTAATATAATCTTGTAGCAAATTTTTCATTCAAGTATCGTACACTTTATATTCATATTGAAGGCCCAAACAAATATTTTGTTAGAGCGTTAGTGAATTACACTGCATTTATCTTCAGTGCATATTCACTATAAAATGCAAATTGCAAACATGGATAATTTGTATAATTATCTATCAACTGACTGTGGTTAGGGTGTATACTTTCTATACCATGACCACGTTTAAAATTAATATTCCACTTGGGTGCTAGCCATGCTTTATAACAGCTACTCAGACAATCCATTAGTGTCTCCCCTCCACCCTCCCCCCCCCCCCTCCCATAGTAAAACCTGTCTATAAAGACCACCCAAGGGAGACAAGAAAGTTGGTCTTTATAGACACGCGGTCTTTAAGTACAGGTTCCTTTAGTACATGTTTCAATGAGAAACCATTTTCAAGGGAAACAAAAGAGATGGTCTTTGTAGATGGGTGGTCTTTCTATAAAGGTGGTCTTTATAGACAGGTTTGACTGTACTAGTATCTCACCATCCTCATCACTGCTATGCCCATTCTTCAGGGGTTGCGAGTGTCTAGAACGTCTCCTCCTATCATGATGATCACCATGGTCCTCACTGCTACCAGGTAAGGTGAAACCCAAGGAATGTGATGATGATGACGCGGTGGCGGTGGTGGTGGTGGAGCTAGTCAGATGGGTTGAGTTGTTTGAACTTTTGTTCAGAGCCTGACCTGAAAAGCGACGGAAAAAAATGTAAGATATGTGTCTAAAGGCATCGTTTAGCAATGTTAAATCAGTGTCTGTGATATGGTGTAATATTGAAGCCCTAAAAAGAACTGCACTTCAAAATTATCATGAAGTGCCTCAAAAAAGTAAAAATCTTTGAGTGACCGGTTATACCATAGTCATTTTTCCAAATAGACTGTAGTGTTATAAAAACCGTTAGGAAAACAAATTCTGAAATTTCTAATTCCAATCATAGATATCTTGATAATCAGACATGTGATTGGCTTGTAAAAGTCATGGGATTCATGTATGACCCAAAGGTTTATAACTATGATTGCAGCGTGAGCTAAATCCAGGAATTCTTTTAGAATCTGAAGCAAAGTTACCCGATCCCTTAATTTTTTTTCTAGGAAATGCTATTTATCATCAAGGTTTGCCCATGCACAATGTATGCACATTATCCACTCCCTGGGGAGCATTCCAGTCAGGTTTACAGATGCTCACAATGTTGAGCAAACTACAATATGTCTTTGGCATTCTACCAGGTATTATGTAACACCTGGGTGGAGAGTGGCAGATGTGGATTAATGTCTTGCCAAAGGGTGTTAGTGCCAGGCTGGGATTGGAACCCTAAACCCTTGGATTGGGGGTCAAGTGAATGAACCACTATACCACAACAGCTTCATAATTTGTCTTGCCATAGGATGTTAGAGCCAGGCTGAGATTTGAACCCTAAACTCTTGGATTGAGAGTCAAATAACTGAACCACTACACCACTACACCTCTACTTGATGGCGTATCAAACTAACCTCTGTGAACATCGTTAGGAGAGTGAGCTTCATCCCTCTGGAAGTCTTCTACTGGAGTCTCATTAGCTCCAAAGATCTGTGCAAAAATATCAAAGGTTTGAATCAAATATTTAAGGTCTATATTATACATATAATACATGTTTGGGAGTGCATTAGTGAATATGCACTACCCGCAGGTTAAGTCACAGTAGGATAATGAACGAGACTTGGCGAGTTCATTGTCCGTCTCATTGTGAATTAATCAAGTGCAGTGCATATCACTAAAGCACGAGCTAAAAATATATATATTTTGTTACACAAGAAGGGTCTACAATATGAGTATAAAGTTGAGAAATTTACTCCCGTGCATATTGTGAAGATTAATGCACGCACACGTGGTTCATTTTGACGCATCTCATTGGCTACATTCTTGAACCCATTTTATAATGTAATAGTAACAACTTTTAAAAAGAAACTAAAAAGCATTCCTAAATATCTTTGGGAGTTGCAGAGGGTACTTCTTCATTATTTAGGGCTTAGCCTACAGAAGAATTTAATTAATGTGTGTCACTCACCTCTGGATATATTGCCATGAGCTCTATCGCCCTCGTGTGGTGGTTCATATCAATGAGAGCATCTAGCGACGATGTGTTAGCATCTCTGAAAGAGTTTAACACAAGACAGACAGAGAGGAAACGTTAGATTTATCCATCTTTCCCTACGTCTCACATTACAATTTTGGAACTGTTGACAGACATCAGATATTGCCTCTTTAAAACTACACACACATTTATGTTACATTCAAGCAGCAACAAAATATATTGGGTATTTGTATAGCACACAAATCCACCACATAAGGTGCTCTAATATTAATAATAATAATAATAATAGCTCGTTCTTATATAGCGCTTTTCAGGACCGGTCATTGGATTCAGGCTTACCCGCACACAATGTATGCACATTCTCCACTCCCTGGGGAGCATTCCAGCCAGGCGTCATTTTTACATGCGCACACTTGCGAATCTAACCACATTAGCTTTCGCATCCTACCAGGTACCCATTTAACACCTGGGTGGAGAGTGGCAAATGTAGATCAATGTCTTGCCAAAGGACATTAGTGCTGCGGCGGGACTTGAACCACGGACCTTGTGATCCACAGTCCGGCGACTTATCCACTCGTCCACAACACCTCTTCTTCATATATTACCCTTGCTCTACCTAGGTTACCTATTACGTGCTTACAGCATTCAAGGAATTCCTTCCTACCAGTACTCATTTAACACCTGGGGGGAGAGTGGCAAATGTTGATCAATATATTGCCTCACTGGGGCTCAAAGCCATGACCTTCGCATTTCCAGTCAAATGTTCAAACCACACGATTACAACAAATCTTACATTGTAATTTACATTTTTACTAAGGGCTAGTAGAAACATTCTCCATCATGTTTTCTAGATACTAACCCTCATTAACTTATGATTGAATTTTTCTTAGATACTTAATAATATCAATATACCATACTTATATGACGCATACCACAAATATGTCCCTATGCGCTGCATATAAATGCATACTAATGAGCACACAAGTAATTGGTGGATGAGTGAAATTGCTTTTGTTGTAGATGAAGAGATAAAGAATAATGATGATTCTGACATACCTTAGTTTGAGGAGAGTTGGTCCAAAGACGATACCCAGGTTGCTACCTGACATGTGGTTGAGAGGTTCCTCTGATACTCTGTAAGTAGATGATTAGAAAAATATCTTCAGTTAGGGTTACAAAGATAACAAATGTTTACAATCAGTCGTTTGCCTAGATTGATTCTGATTAAATAACTTGTTTTGGACTGCTACTTGGGTATTCTCGTGAAATAAGCCACTTCTCATTCACTTTGTACATAGCGGTTCATTCTGTGTGATGCCTATGGGGCATTCCACTTCCCCATAGACTTTTCACGGGAAAGCCTGCTACTTGCTTTAAAGAAAACACTTTTGTGAAAAAAATATAAAAATGGAGGACAATTTTATGTAGCTTACAACATGCAAAGCTTTCTAAATGTGTGTATCTCCTGGGAAAATGTTATGAACCTATTATAGATATATGACCATGAAGAGTGAATTTTGTTAGAGATACTCAAAGATTTTTTTGGCATAAACTCACTGCCCAAAATAGGTCATAACAAGACATTCAAAGTGTCTATGGTATTATGATGATAAGGTCCAGGGTTCAAAATCAAGTTGAGGTTAAGGCAATTATCCTAAATTACCAAGTCCTTACCGGTATTTTTAGTGTTCAGTTAACTTTAGACTCATTCATGTCTGATATTGAGTTTCAATGTTCTTTTTTCCAAAATACAACCAGCCTGTGCATAAAAATACGAATCATATACCGCTTAGAAAAAAAATTAAACTTTTTAAAATCAGCTTCAAACGTGTATTTTAACTTTGAATTCCCTGAAAGACTAAACACAACTTGTGCAAACATGACTGACCTTTTTAAGTGATACATGAGAACTTTGGCTGTGTGATGATGGAGTTGCGGTAGTTTGGCGATGACCTGTTTGAACCTCGTAATGATGGCCGCATCGTCGTAGACCACGCCCTCCTTCTGAGGGAACTCTTTGGCAGCTGCTATGAAGTCTGGGTAGAGGTTGAAGGTCAGCAGTGGTTCTGGGAGCTGTTTAGAAGAACAAGAAATTAAAGGTATAGTCCAGTTTTGGAAACGCCCCCCCCCCCCCTCTCAAAAAATGAAATGGAAGCTCTTATTACCAATCATGTGAAAGAATGTGTTTTGACTGATACGTGATGATACAAATTTTGCCGGGGAACCGCCCACTAATTGATATATACTTAGTAAATTATTATATCTATCCGGACTGGATAGATATTGCGTAGTCCCATATTCATCTTTCTGTGTACAGTGCTTGTAACTTTACCAAGACTGGGCCAAATTTTTTATCATTTTGATGATTCCAGAACCTTGCAGTACACACCAATACATATATGCTAGATGATCAACCTTTTCTGATCGATTCCACAACGTTTCTTTCACAATGCAATCGCATGACCAGAACTGGTCTATACCTTTAACCCTTCATTTACTATGAGCGCTGATTCGCCGATGTGCTGACATGCCACAAGTGCCCAATGGTACAAACAATGAATGTAGGTACCAGTTAACAGAAGGTTTGCACTATGCCATCAAAAGCTTTGAGAAATAACCCACTTAAGGTGTAAACTGGCTATATGACAGCACTACTGTGTTTTATATATATTCTTTGTTAAAAAAAATACTGTTTGATAAACATATGTTTGATTGAGAACATTTCTCTTGAATCCTATCACGGTAGTTTCAAGGTTTGTATTACAAATAGCATTAATGGGTGTAAACCTAGCCATATTGCAGCTCAAATTCAAGCTTGGATCAGCTGATCCATTGTCTAGAAATAATCCACATACTGTGACAACTCTATATTCATATCAATTGTGACTATTGTGGTTATCAATATTTGTTGAATAGACTGGTAACTAACCTGTCTCAGGTAGAGCTTGAGTGTACTGGTAATGAGATGTGGGGGACTCTCTGAGAGGTCGACAAGGTCAGCACCATTCTCAAAGGTTTGACAAAGCTTCTCAACTTTGACCTTTAACCCTGCAACCCTGTAGATACCCTGAAAAAGATCAAGAAAATTGATTTATTTAAAAAATATTCAAACATAATGTGAAAAGCACTTTATGTTTCATCATTACATAGCATATGGAACAACCTGAAATATAAAAACATAATGAGTTTTCGTATTTTTAATTGATATTTGCACTAACAAATGATAAAGATTATTGAAAAAGAACCAATAGAGAATTGTATTAAGTTGAACATGTAAGACATCAATATATTTTCTGCCATCACGCATACACTATTAAATACATATACTATGAATTAAAAGTAAACTTGTTACAAGAAGGGCATTTTTTCACTTGGGAAAGGGTTATTACACATAGAATTTCACTTGTCACAAAATACTTGCTGTATCAGCATATCTAAAGGAAGTGCGTGAATGTAGAACCAATGAAAATACAAGAATAAACATATCAGATGTTAAGAGAGCAATACCTTGATTTGCAACGCCTTCTTTTCAATCTCTGAGATGCACTTGGTGACGATGAAGGGTACCTCCCTGCCCGTCACCCTCAAGTGTTCCGACAGATTCACCCCGAATACGTTCATCTTGCCCATGAGCCGCTTGCCACCGCAGTTGATAGCCAGGGACTCCAGACACTTCTTATGGCAAGCCAGCCCGCACCGTTCACACTCCGCGCCGTTGAAGTAGACGTAGCTCTCGCACTCCCGACACTTTGATGGTGTACGTAGCTTTCTGATCATGTGCGTCATGGCTGCCTTGGAGAGCGTCAGGTTCTTGAATGCATTTGGAATGGGCTCGATCAATCCTGTTGGGAAACAAGAAAGTAACCGAGTTTGAATGTTGCCATTTCAATCGAGATGGTTGCATATAAAGTAATACTCATTCATTCATTTTGTAACAAAAAGGGAGGGGAAAAATCAGAGTATCAAATAATGGGGCAAACTACAGAGTAATATATTTGGTATATTTCACTGAAATGTACAAAAAGAATAGAACCGTTATATTACTAAAGCTATATTTCCACAATCATAGTGGAGGAAAAAAGTACTCCATTCCAGTACTTGCAAAATAATTATTTGAAAATTGATTCTAAAACATCAAATACGGGTAAGCTAATTAAACAGCACTACCCAAATCAAATTAATTTCTTTTATTGGTACTACAAAATCAAAGAATAGCAATGAATACAGAATATGAATAATAAAGCTTTACGTCTTGCACTTATCAGTCTAAATCGCGAGAATGAACAGAAAGCCAAATTCAGACAATATCTTTAATCAAATATATGCAAATTTGAACATATTTAAGAATATATTCCAGTATTCATGTTCTTAAATTCCATCTACCTCTCTTATCCAACCCCAAACTTACTGTTAGGTCCACTGTTGACAACCACAGCCGGCGTATCTTCTCCTAGCTCATCACCGGATGATAGTCCTCCTCCTCCTCCCGTATCCCTGGCGATGACCCTTGGTCCGTTCCTTGGACTAGCTGATGGGGAACCTGACTTGGTAGAGCTGCCGCTGATGCTCTCAGAATCACTCACGGGATGGGCCTGCCATGCAAGCAATCTCTGAGATTTATCTGTTAAACAAATTAAAATGGTACTCAAAATTCTGCACTCAATAGCTGAATATATTCTACATGTACGTAGAATAAAATAAGAAATAGAAATATATGAATAGACAGACAGATATATAGATACATAGATAGATGCGCTGTATAAATTGATCTAATTATTATTTTTATATCAAAGTTGAACCACAGGAAGCAGTACAAGTCATCCTTTTTTCATTTTTTTTTTTACTTTCCCTGTTCATTTCCTCTTTATTTCTACCTAAATCAATAGTATTCTCAAATCAAAGATACTATTCATTAACCTGACAAGGTCACGCAAGTAAATGTACATTAACTTCAATTGTTAAGTAACTAGCTAAGAATGTTGGAAAGTACATCCTTGAAAGTTGGAATAAAAAAATGAACAAAGATTTATACATAGAAAGGGAAAGATTAATAATGATTTTCAATAAGAATGCTAAGTATTTCACTATATTCCAGTCATCTGGCATCCATGACAGATACCCTTTCTTGTAGAAGAATAGTCGATACAAGTATTTTTAGTCACTTCTACTAGGTATCCATCCTGTTATCTTGGAACATATTTCACACAAATTTCATGCCAAGCCCCTAATATTATTTAGCTATCATAAACCTTAGACTTTCTCTTTTCCTTGTTCTCCATCCATCTCCCCTTCTAAATTGAATAGCATCCTCATCAAAATTGTAATCAAATGTGTACTTTATCTGTTCAGTCAATTAAATGAAAATATTGATGACAATGTCTGTTTGTTGTTTGCCTTTTCCAAAACAAGACAGAAGGTGAAATGAAAATAAGACTACTTACCAGATCTTCTTGAGCCAGAGTCGGACCTGTTGCGTAGGAATGTCTTGTCATCTTCAAAGCTGTCGTATGACTGAGAGCTGGTCTTTCTCTCGCGCTGTAATGAGCTTCTGCAAAGGTGACAAGATTTGGAAATGAAGTTGGTTAAACCTTACAATGCTTCTTGTTTTCATATCATTTTTCTTTGTCTTCATTATGATGTATGTTGGCAGGCTAAGAATTTGCACATCTCTAATGCTTGATTCATTCTTCTTCTCCAATACCTCTCTTTTTTTTTCTCTCTCTATTTCACAATGTTTTAATTTATTTATTTGTCAAACTCTCTCTCCTTTCCTCTCCATTCCTCTTTCTTGTTTTCTTCTTCTACCATTTCCCTGCTCTCTCATTCCTTCCCCTTCTCTCTACTTGAAAGGCTTTCCTTCCTAATTTCACTGTCCACTGTCCCTTTTTCCTCTGCCTTCATGGTCCTTTCTTTTCTCTCCTCCCTTTTAAACCTTTGGACAGAGTGACCTGAACAAAATATATAAGAGGAAAAATGTAACAAATGCTATTCCCTTTCTCTCTTCTTCTGCCTCACTGCCACCCCCCCCCCCCCCCCCCCCACCTCCTCCCCCCTCTTTCCCCTCTCCTCTCCTCTCTCCCTCTCCCTCTCCCTCTCCCTCTCCCCCCCCCCCCTCTCTCTCTCTCTCTCTCTCTCTCTCTCTCTCTCTCTCTCTCTCTGTAGCACCATATATTAACTTACGCGTTGTTGTACGGTTCAAAGATCAGTGGTTCTGTGTCCTGTAGTGCATGCCCTGACATAAACCTCTTGTGATGTTTCACATAATGACTGAACTGAAGACCAGGCTCATACGCCCGAATCTGCTCGCACAGAGTTTGAAACTGAAAAAGGAGAACAGAATAAAATGAAATTGTTAACAATCAACATATAGGTGTCAGTGTTCTGAATCAAGAATTTTGAATTGAAACATTATACAACTCATGCAAACCACATTATTAAAAGCCTTGAGCAGATTGAAACCAATGTGCGTTACGCTACGGTCACAAAGGTTCGTATGAATCTCTGTTTTTCCATTGTCTGAAAATCGTTCATACGGCGTTCGTAGCAGTTCATAATGGCATTTGTGACCAAGGCTTTAGATTACTCACACTTTAATTCTATTCAATCTATTAAGCACATATATTTCAAATACGGATTTCATCTGTAATAGAAGATATACATTCTAACTGTCTTTACAATAAAAGGATAAAAGTAGCTATTCTGATTTCTTATATGCCAAATGGAACACCTAGTCCTCAGTTATAGTTGATCAATACGACACATTAGTAAAGCACCTAGGATGTTTTGAAAGCACAAAAATGAAAAGACAGTGTTTAAGTACCTGTATTGGAGCTGGTGCTGACAGGGTATGTTGCATACTGAAGTAGCTGTGTGTCACCTGGAGACAAACAAAAGAAATGATCACAATATTGTTATCGTCTCATATCATGATTATTTTATTGTTTTAATGAAGCAAATACAATTTTAAAATTTTAACTAGTTGAGCCTTTTATCAATGTAAGGAAATTAATATTCAATGTTTAAATGTACACTGGACCAAATAAACTAAAAAGAAATATCAATTGGAATCAATTACAAATCTTTAAAAGACATAAATTATTACCGTACAACATGTACCTCGCATAAAATTTCACGCACATTAAATGCGATGAATTTAGTCTTTAACAATGATAAAAATTGGTGAAAAACACAATAAAAATAACTGGACAAACAAAAAATTGTCCAGCAATTTACAAACCAATATTTTTGTGCAAGACTGTCTCCTACAGTATGTAATCATATTTATGTTTATGATTGTATATTTATTGTACTGTTTTGAAACATTGATGGAGAACAAATTTCTATGCGTTATATACATGTGTATAGACACAACAATTCTAGAAATATCAACTATGAATCAGTATATATGTACATGTTATGAAAATTTATGAAAATGCCATTCTACCATTCTTCATCCTTGCCCTGGATAAACACTGTATCTCTTGATGACTTTTCATTCCATAAAACTATAACAAGGCTGACTTACTGCTTTCATTGTCTGGTCACACATGAAGATGAGTTCTCTGAGTTGTATCAACAATTTTTGCTGCAAAGGAAACGCAAGTCAATAGTCAAATTAAGATGGTACTCAAAACCATGCACTCAATTGATATATTCTACATGCATGTAGAATGAGATAAGAAAGAGAGATAGAGATAGGTGGAAGGATGGATGGAAAGATAGATGGATAGATATAGTGTGGATAGATATATTGTAGACAGATAGAGAGAGAGAGGGGTAGACAGAGAGACAAAGAAAGAAATAGAAAGAGAAAACAAATAGAAAAATAGAACTAGAGAAAAAAAAAATATATATATATATAGATGCTAGCAAAGAGAGTTTAGTAAAAGAGTTGAGGTAAACCGTAAGGAAAGAGACAGAGAGAGAGGAAAAGAGAGAGAGAGAGAGACAGAGAGAGAGAGAGAGAGAGAGAGAGAGAGAGAGAGAGTGTGTGCGCACACTCAATAGACAGCCAGGATAAAAGAGGGAGGGAAAGAAAGAAAGCAAAATGGAAACAGGAAAGTAGAAAAATACAGGATAGAGAAAAAGTGAAAAAAAATAACACAAATGCTGTGCGGCTATAAATGTAATCAGACAATCATAATTATTCATATGAAAAGAAACAGGTGTAAAACATACAAATTGAGAAAATCTTTTTGAACTCAATCATAGGTACAAGGTTCTACATGTATGGACCTTTAATCAACTCTACTGTCTATAGACACTTGAATCAATATGACACAGGAAATATTTATATCCTCTCAAGTACAGAATCAAATCTAGTGATCCATGAGAGAGAGAAAATACAGTACTTCATATGAATGGATTATTTCCTCTTCCTCTTCATACATTAACAAGGAAATCTTTTCTGATTCATTGTCAAATATGCCATATTTTATTTCAATTACCTATCATTTAGTGCTATTCTCTTTTCAATGAGTCTTGTTTCTAATAAAAACTTCTGTTCAGTGAACAAAGACAATTTTTTTTATACTAGCAATCAAACAACATTTTGAACTCCAAATATCAGCATTATGAGGTATACCGGTATTAAATGCTTACCAGTTCTTTGTCACTGATAAAACAAACAGAATTTCAACATAAATAGTGATTAATATTATAGGTAAGGTTCTTATGAATCTCACATGGAAGCATAACAAGAATATTTGATGAAATTGATGACCCACCTTGACTCGAAGCATATCCTGTTGTTTGTTGTTAGTCTCTGCTACGCAGGCTTTGTATGTTGTCTCTGCTTCTTGGGCCTGCAAAATACAAGAAGAAAATGAAATCAGATATGAAGTCAACCAAATGTGACATAAACAATGCTTTAAAGTGTCCCTATTAAGTGAACTGTAGAAATCTTTGCAGGATCCATGCATATTATAACCTTGCGACCATTCCCAACAACTTGATAAAAAGTCAAGAAATTTGAAAACTTGATCTGCCCCCCCCAAAAAAAAAAATCATCAGTATCACATACTGAAAAGCTGCTTTAATATAATTATTATTGATATATAAACAACTCTCATGATATTGCTCTCTATCTAGTACCTGTATTCACGGGAATGATATATTGTGAATAATTACTATGCCAAGGTCGGAACATCAAAACTTCAAGACTTTGGTTGGTATCAAAAGATACGGTACCTACACCACATCTCACAACTCAAAACCCTGAAATATAAGAGTGCAGTGGACAGATCCCCCTAGTCTATTCCCACTTTAGGAAGGCACTGTGGCTCAGTAGTAGCCAGGAGGTCCCGGGTTCAAAACCAAGTCAATGCGCTCCCGCTCTTTGATAAGGCATTAATCCTCATTACCAAGTCCCTTGGAGAGGACTTAAAGCCGTCGGTCCCCCGATTTTTTACTTTAAGCCTGTCTGCACTACTTTGACCAGGAGAGATTAGACCTCCCTGCATGGTCACAGAAAGGTGGTTATCTCATCAAATCAGCTCTCAATTAACATAAGAAAAAGAGGATCATGGGGGACCAACAGGCATCGATTAGGCATTGTTTGCTACATACAGGGCGCAAGTAGCTATAAGTAGTGCAGTGGGGCATTAACATATACATGCTTTCTTAGTAGTCAGGTAAAATAATTGTCATCGAATAAATTTAAGACTGAAACTGCTTCCCCATAGACATGTCTTGGAGCACATTGAAATGAGACTGCAGCATTAATTTACATTCATATTGGAATAAAACGGATCTTACCTTTCCCAAGGCATCATCCTCAGCCTTCTTTCTCTTCTCTAGCTTAGCATGGTGAGCTCCTCCGCTGGAGTTCATCATCTCGTTCTCTATCTTAGCAGTGGCTTCCTTAGCTCTCTCGTACTCATGATACCGGGAGTAGTAGAGCTGACGGGACTTCTCAAGGTTCATACGACATTCATTCTACAGTATAGAAAGAGGTATCATTGTCATTAATGCAGTACTGGAAAAGAAATCTTAAGTTCATTTACAATAGATAATAACTACTATAATTATGTCAACGTACATTTTATAACTGTAAGTCATGCTTTCTTGTATTTTACTGTAGATATGACAATATTAGTCTCCAGACTTTTGCAATGTTCTTTAAATGTGTTGAATGTTACACGAATGAATCAAAATATAGCATTATAAAAACCTGAGGTAAAAATAATTGACAGGTAGTGGGTAAATATGCATGGGATGGGGGAAATTCACATGATTCATGAAGAAAAAGAAGGAAAATAGGTTAAAAGAGGTTGTTTTAATCATGTGGCAAAAAGAGTAGGATGGTATTGAAAATGTACAGTACTCTAAATGAGGGAGGAAATTTCTAACAACCTAAGTAAAACCTGCATTTACTTTTATAAATGCTTTTATAATGTAACTGAATATTTAATCAAAATGAAAATATCATTAATTTGTACGGAGTAAGCTGACTAACTCCTGATGTCAGAAAATTATTAAACTAACTTTCTTTTTATGACGAGGCAATAATCACATTCATATGTAGCTTGCGACTACTCATGCAAGTCAGATCACAAAGCTACACAAACAGTTCCTCAATGCTTCCACACCGCTGGTCTGTCTAATGAATCATGTTATGAATAACTGAATAAAAACTTGATGCCACTGACCATTTCTTTCTTGATTGTGTTCCATTGCAGCCGTATTGATTTTCTTTTCTTGTCATGTTCTGCCCTCCGCGCATCTAATTGCTAATGGTAGAAAAGAAAGAGAAATACCCTTCAAAACATTAGAATCAATACTTTATGGAGCCTCGATCTACCCCCCACCCCATCCCATCCCATCCTTGATGTCTTTTTGTGTTGTTGACAGAGTTGATCACATTACAGCATTTCTTGACTTTGTCTCGTAAATGTAAGTGTTCCAGAAGAAAAAAAAGCGACATAATCAATCTGCCCTTCCATTCATACCACTAGTTGTTTTGATGATTAAATGTTTTAAGAACTGATTAAAAGTATCTGGAAAGACCTGTATACTTGCTGGACCCTATGGAAGACGGTTCAAATACGCTCCAATAAAACCATGACCATGTTAATACCTTTTCCCACCCAAGCTGATGTTAGAGTATTAAAAGGCACATATCTTTATTTTACATGTTCAAAGCTTTAACAAAAATAATAACATAATGACAACTTTTACTTGAATAAACAGTACTGTTCAGTGTTCACCATTTATATGATAATTTGAGTATACAATATATACATGTAGGTTTGAAGTTTGAAATAGTCTTTGTCATATTGTCAAAGTTCCCTTAATACTAAAATAGCTGTCGAAAAAGTATTCAGGGCTTTGAAAGTAAATATTTTTCAACTGTTTGAACAGCAAACTATTATCACCATTAATGGTAACAACCCGGTCATGGGTTTTTCAGGTATATCACAAGAAAGAATGGAAACAACAGAAACCATTTCACTAAATATTATATCACAAAACCATCAAAAAACATTTGAAACATGAGATCACTTTACCTCAACAAACTTATGTCCTTGGATTTGTGAATAGGTAGCCTCACAGTTTGTGGCGTATTCAATGTCCTGTAACATAAGAAGACAATCAACTGGTTACCACACAATGCTTTCTTTGAAGCAGTTTCCATGAGGAATGTGATCATTTAGGTATGAGTCATGAAACAAGTGGTGAAATTCACACTTTCTCCCTTACAAATATTTGTAGTATTAGAGTGGAAATTTGGATCATCATATATACACCAGGCAGGATTAGCATTCATGCTATTTTCTGGTTTCTTTTAACCTTTTATGTTATTGTATCAAACTGTTTATATGTAATGTTATGTGTTTATTAATGGACATTTAATTTCAAGATCAGGTTCAACTCAATTGCCTACATTTTGAAATGTAAAATGTAGAGTATATTGTCAGTGGCTTTTAAAGATTTGAAATCATTCCAAAGAGATATCCAATCTGATATCAAATTGGTTGTGATAAAAATATGAGGACGATAACAAAGGAAATTCCAATAGAGGATAAGAACGCTTTGAACAATTATACCAAATATCAAAAAGCTGCAAATCCGTGTTTGATTAAATCAAAACTGTCTTATCCTACATCAGGTATGTCTCAAACACATACAGTTTCAAACAAATTTTATTGGAATTAAAGACTTATATATCGTCGGTGGGGTGACAAAACCTCGTATCTCAATTTTTTGAGATTTTGATTTTTTTGCATAATTTTGTACCTAATGGCCTACGACACCACCTGATAAATCCATGGAACGCCTCCTGTCTCGGTTTTTTCACAAATTCCAAACAAATGACGGTGTCACAGCACTAAATCTGTTGACACAGGAAAGGTTTTTGCGCTCTCCTGAAAATTCATGATTTTTGAGATACGAGGTTTTGTCACCCCACCGACAATATATATATATATATATATATATATATATATCTTCACAATAATGTAACCAAATAAAGGATAGAATATCAATATGTTTAAAGGTAAAGACCAGTTATGGTCATGCGATTGCATTGTGAAAGAAACGTTGTGGAATCGATCAGAAAAGGTTGATCATCTAGCATCTAGCATCTGCAAGGTTCTGGAATCATCAAAATGATAAGAAATGTGGCCCATTCTTCGTAAAGTTACAAGCACTATACACAGAAAGATGTATATGGGAATACCCTATATCTCTCACAGACCATGAGAGAAACAAATTTACCAAATATATGAATTAGTAGGCGGTTTCCCGGCAAATTTTTTATCATCATGTATTAGTCAAAACATATTCTTTCACATGATTGGTAATGAGAGCTTCCATTTCATTTTTTGAGAGGGGGGCGTTTCCAAAACTGGTCTTTACCTTTAATACCACAGTATAACAAACATTGTTCTGTAATCAGTAGCTGTATATATATACACCGCAAGCAAAAAAACATCTATTTTTCTCACATTCCGGTGTTTTGTTTGGTAGTTGCTTAGCAACCAACTCCTGGTAAACACAATGAAAAACCCAACTTGAAAAATCCAACTCTGGAGTGTGTTTTTTTTTTAAACGCCAGCAGAAATTTCACCAATGACTGCAGCGTAAATCAGTGAATGATTCTGGTTTTTCATCAAATGACTCTCCTTGCTTCTGTGCGATTAAAATCGAGCAATGAGCAACATTGACGGTTTTTTTATGGGCTTTTCAAGTAGTGTAAATAGCAGTTAACTTTTTTTTTTTTTTTAAACACTTTTTTCAAAATGATGTTTGGGCTGCGTGAATATGCTTATACTTTTCTTCATTTTGATGACCCTGATCGGGCCTTTAAATCCACCTAATAATACTGTATTTCATCTACTTTACCAGGGTACTTACATGTTCTAATGACATCAAGTAGGTTGACTGGAAGGGAAGATATGTCTGCATGGAGGAAAAAAACATTGAAAGAAAGAATAGAATATAAGTATCAATTGTCAAGTTACCTTGAATGATTTAGCGTAATTCAACTGTGATCAAAAGGAAAATATAACAGTGTATGAAAGGATAAATATCCTTTATCCATCCCAAATGAGGCTGTTTTATTAGTCCTAAACATTAGCATAATATAGAAACCCTGAAAGATGAACAATGCTTTATGTACATGTACCTGTACCTAAAAGGCTAAAGCGGGCAACAATAATACCAGCATAACAATGATAACAATGATAAAAATGATGAATGAGGGCATCCGGTAAGCAATATATAGAATGGTTTACCAACATATTCAAATTTATGGATGTTTCTTTCCTGGGGACATAGTGACGAGCCATTCCATTAACCTGTTGTTAATGAATAAACAACAATACTCAGAATCCATTCTGCATAAATTACCTGTTGTCAAGAAAAACTTTTGTTTAAAAAGTACAGGTATGCAAAATTTGAATATGTTACTATGGCCTATTCATGAAAGTGCTTATTCTAACTCATGGTTTGAACCTCCATCAACATAATACACAGGTGTCCTCATGTCTAATAGACACTCAATATACATTTAAACCTGTCTATTAAGGCCACCCAAGAGAAACATAGGAAAGTGGCCACTGTAGACAGGTGGCCTTTGTAAACAGGTTCTTCAACACACATTGTTCCTTCAAGAGGGAACCACTATGGGTGACTACCGGTATCAATATTATAGACAGGTGGCCACTAAGACAGGTTTGACTGTACAACAAAAGTGTACACATAATCATTTGCATAAACATACTTTGTAAAACAATGTTATCTTATTCATGTGTAATGTTATTTATCTTGTGTTATTTTGTTAAGTTTTATGTAATCATGACTGATACATTATGTTTTACTTGTTATTATTTTTGTTGTGAATAAACTCAAACTCAACTCAACTCAATGTGCTTCTGTATGCTTCTTTACACTTATTTTACTTCTTGGAAGGTTCAAACCCTAGTTTATATCGTGGGTTAAAATTTAAAAAATCTTTTGTGAATGAGATCCTCAGTTTACATTTGAAAAAAAAAAATCTTCTTCAAATATTACTCCCGTTTCTGATGATTCTCTAGACCAGAGGACCATTTCACAAATGCCATTCCTTCACCCTCCCTTGTTATTCCCTTCAGAATCCCCAAGGGACCACTTGTGCCAAACCCCAACCTCATAATTCATCCTCAAACTTCATCCATGACTCTAAACTTGACCTTTGAGGCACTCAGGTCCAAGGAACCACATTCCGGAGGTCATACAAGGTCATCGTCAGGAGCGAGCTACACCCAATTTGTGGGGAATGTCAACCATTTGGATAGCTTAATTAGGTAATGGTTTGGAATGCAATCGCACAATATTAAAGTATTCATTGCTATGGACTCAAGGTATCCATACAGCTTAAGATATCAAGAATTTTATAACAAGCCTGGTCATTGTATTCTTTAGTCATTCCTTCCCCCTTACAACATAATCATTAACATCATACCACTTCAAAGATCTACATACAATGTACACATCTCTCTATTAACGGAAATATCTTCTCATAAGCTCATATATGCATGATCGTTTCTTTTATTTTATTTCTTATTGTATATTTCTCAAATTTCTTATATTCTTGCACTTTGATCACGAGTAACGATTTTTCACTGTACTGTACAGTGTACATGACGCTTCTACCTCTATGTAGATGTTTACCTAACAGATATGTAGGAGAACTTATATTGCTGTCACCTGATAACATTGAGACTACAGTAACATGTACAATAACTGACATCTCATTTTCACAAAGTTACAAACTCCACCTCTCATACTGCTATCAATCTAACATAGTAGGACTAGTAACTCTCATTACATAACTTCTTGAACTTCCCCTAAATGACTAAGCGCAAGTCCAACTTTTAATGATTTATCTCATAAACGTCTAATGACACCCTTCACCTCATAATTAGGATCCAAACAATATAAAACAAATTCAATGATGTGTACACAACCCATTACAGAGTAATCAAAGCAGCAGTTCATAATAGATCTATAATGAGCGGTAATGAGAGTAATTAGTTCCGCCCCGGCTTAATATAAACATCATGAATATTAAAAACTTGAAATTAAAGGAGTCTGCTGTGACGATCGTAGATGCTATGCCTGTCTGCTGTCATCGCGTGAGTAGCGCGTGATGATTTGATTAGAAAGCGTTCATGCAGGTTATATGGCTATACAGCAAGGGAAGCAAGCTGTAATTGAATGTTCCTAATGTGAGACAGTGTATCGAATATTCATGGACTGTTCATGTGTGGTATATCAGTTCTCACAGCCAAGTGAAGAAGGAAGTTACACCTTTTTTCTTGTTTTCTTTTTCCTCCTTCTCTTCCATTATCCATTATTATCATTATTCACTTTCCATATCCTTTGCTCTTTTTTTTGGGGGGGGGGTCATCTATTGACATATGCAATTAGCTCATACATTTCCTCCTTGTTATTTTTTTTCCCATCAATTATTATTATCATTATTTATTTATTCATTTATTTAATTCATTTATTTAATTCATTTATTTTATTTATTTATTTTATTGAGGGGGAAGGGGGGGGGGGGATTCTCTTGCCCAATGTTTCGCTTTGACCATGCCTGCTTCCTACTTAATCTTATTGATATTCTTCTTACCAACTTTACATTCTCTTCACTGTTTAGCACTCTTTATTCCTTCTTTATTCATTCCCATGTATGTAGTTTCTCTCTTTTCATACCTCCATTTATTCTTTTTAGTCCTCCCACTTAATTGTTGGTACACGTACGTACATATCTAGGAATATACACCTAATGGTAATTATGTAATGAAAAGTTTCAGTTCTAGTTCCAGGATTAATTTTCTAAATTAGCTTCACCTCTTTTTTTCTGTGTAATGTAAAACTTTCTCAACCTCTTAGACCTACGTCATATATTCCTTAATTGTCATTACTTGTCAAATCTAAGTTTCAGAAGACAACTCTATTCAAGTTTCGAACATGCTGGTGAGCATTGATTTGTGACCAGAGGCTCTTTGTCAAGTTATCACCATATACTCTCCAAAGTCTAATCAAGACAAGAAACATAAAGCGGAAGTCCACCCTGATAATTAGCTGGCATTGCAATAAGCAGAAACAAATTAGTGAAATTTTGAGCAAAACCTGATTCGAAATAAAAAGTTATCTATTTTTGAAGGTGCAGCTAGCTCATCAAACACAAATTTGCCATTTGCCCTGTATTAACAACAACAAAAAACAAAAACAAAATCATATTTTCTCTACAGACAATTTTCAATTTTATACAACCCCTGTAATATGAAACCAATCTATTCCATCATCAATAACTGAGAAAATGAAAGTTTATGAATTTTCTGTGTTGCCTATTTGTGTTTCACCGATGACAACTTCTAAAATCCTTCAGTTTCATATTTTTATTTGGATATTGCTCAAACTTTCACTACTTCGTTGCTCTCATTTTTCTGTTTCTATAAAAACTAACTGAATATCAGGGTGGACTTCCCCATGAAAGGTACTATGTCCTATTTGCAGGCCAAAAAAATGAAAAAGTTAAATTCCAACTGCATTTGAAAGATAATACTAATTAGAACTTCTCTAAAAAAGGTGGGGCTTGAAAATGTCTTCAAGTGGGGAAAATAACGACTATTAGTTGTCAAATCGACTTTAGGGCTATAGAGCCCAAAAGTAATAGTCTTGATTTTCAGACAATTGTACCGAATGGTCATACTTTTTATGCTGCGCAAAGATTCAATCAGTTTAATCTTGGCCATCACAAGAAGTGGGTTATTGATGTAAACAAATGCTCATGTACCCTTTACAAGTCTTTTCATGTATGTTATTACCAAAGAAAAAAAAAGCCAGTCAGTCACTCAATAGTGTCTGACAGTGAAGTCTAGCAAGTAAACAGGTTTCCTCGCATAATTTGAATATGAGGACACTGCTAACGTTTAAATTTCACAGATAGGACATACATGACATATTCATAATTCCTGCAAAGTTCTACATCATTTGAGGTTGGCTGCAAAAGGGACATAGTACCTTTAAAGAGTATTTAGTCTTACTTGTTGCTCTATAACACTTGAGTAGTTCTATGAATTGAAGGTAACTGTATAACTTGTTGCTACACATATTTTATGTAGGCCATCAGTGTAATTCATATTGAATAGTGGATACAAAATAACACTAATACTTGCTTCCACACGGTATGAGTTTACAAAGTCGATCACCTCGGGGGCTCAAATTGAAGTCATTTAGAAGGATTCATTAATAACGTAATTCAATTTAGGTAGAAGCATGTCTGTAGGAAAGAGCATGCAGGTGGGTTTTGGAGGTCAAAGCGTCATTTGATTAATGGTGATGACAGAGATATTCATCAACTGTCTGGCAATTGCCTTGATGGCATTAATTGGATTAAAAGCTTTTGCAGCTGTATCCACAGCCTCTACTAAAAGTGTTGCAAAATTACACAGCTAAGAATAATGATAAATCGTGTTTTATGTAGTGCCTAACAGGGAACCGTCAATCTCTCAACGCTTTACAGATAATATTATTATATATATGAATTATAAGTTTTTGTGGGGAAAATCACAAATTCCTAATAAATTAAAGATTGATACATGCACATGTGCAAAGATGAAACAAGTTACGGAGCATGCTGTGATTACAAATGTTGTCTTTTGGAAACTAAAAGAAGAAGAAAAAGGGTAACCGCAGGGTATGCCATCGCAACAACAAAAACAACATCTGTAGGAAGTGTAAGGGGAAGCATATAATCAAAGATCCTGGACAAATCTTGATCAGAAAGCTTCTGAAATTTCTGTTTCCTTCCAAACATCTTGACTGTCTTATGAAATCAAGTTCAACATTAGGTCATTACAGCGTACATATATCTATTATATACATACTACAATATGCATTTAGTATTTTTTATCATTTCGATTCAAATCCCTGTAATGTCCAATGATAAGCAAAACATATAATTTGTTGGATAAGGCAACTTAGCATGACAGATATAATTTACAGACTTTGGGATGAAAAAAAAAAGGGATTGACAAAACATATCACTTTATAATGTGTCCAATACATTTGATGCTACTTGATATGTGATCTAATACGGTGTGCTGGATTCATGTGTTATTTTTATGAAGCAATACAGTGAAAACAACATTCTTTAAGTAATTTCATAAGGATATAACAAAAGCATGCCACAGAATTTTGTGAGGCAATTCATGCTATTTCCCTTTACAAACTCAAATTGTAGTAATATTTTACATCTCCACTCTTATTTAGATAACCTAGGAATACACGTACATACGACAGGTTACATGAATGGGGAAGGCCATCATTTCAAAAATCACAATTGTAGTATTCACACAATCAACTCCACAAAATGATAAAATAACATTTCCTCTAAAGAACAACAGCATCAGAATACATATTCTATTGGTTAAATAAATGTATAGAAAGTAATAACAATACATAGTACAAGTACAACTTGTCAGAGGACTATTAAAACAAACTATGTACTATCTTTCAACAAAGAATAGCATCAGATTTGATAACCAACAGTCTTTTTCAAGACTACACCAACAGTCCTTTTTCAGGACTACACACCCTCAAGAAAGATTACCGAGAGTCCTTTTCAGGACTCCTCAATCCTCCCTCTCACTCACATGGTGCACCCGCAAGCCTACTGTATAGCATAAGATTTGTTTTCTTTCTAGAATTTTTTTTTTTTACATATTAGCCCTTCCTTACCAATAGCTTTCCTGAACAATATGTAGTTATCTTTCAGCTTCTTTGTATAGTTGTTGGTGATTGTAAAAGTTAAGTCGAAAGGAAACCTTCAATTTATTGATTTGGTTTGGAAATTAAGGTACTCTTCATTTGGGTAATCCACATTCATCACACGTAGTTGATGGTTTCTTTTCTTTTGTTATTGTATTTCGTTTTTCTTGTATTTTTTAAAAATTATTACATGACCTTTGAAAGAAAGAAGAAAAAGAAATAAAAAATAAAAATGATTGAATAACAGTATCGACTCTTACCTCTTCTCTGAGAACAGGACGAGTTGTAGCAGCGAGTTTAGACATACTTCTTGCAAACTCCATCTCTGTAAACAAAAGGGTCAGAAATTATTACAATCAAGTTTGATTATAATAATAATAAAAATAATAGCCTAATAGTCCACTTCAAATTTGTATTAAACCGAAACAGAAATTCTTTTTGCCCTATTGACCGTGAGCCCGGCAGCCACTGAGCAGCGCCAGATCGACGTTGCTCTATCCCTTATTGTTGAATGCCAAACAAGGTAGCAACAACTCCCATCTTTTAACGTCTTTTGGTATGACGCGGCCGGGGTTCGAACCCACGACCTCCCGGTTGTGAGGCGGATGCTCTACTGACTGAGCCAACACTCCGGTTACATGTTACATGTTACATTTCTTTAAGAGTATTTTTAAGGACAAGTTTTGCAACATTTCTGCTTTAAGTAATAAGATGAAATTATATCATATCATTGTATCATCATTTATGCTTGAGTAAATGATATTTGTCTTATGTACCAATTGTTGAAGCATATTCCTGTGTTCACATTTCTCATTACATATTCCATTTACAAATAATAGGTAGCAATGGAAAGGTCAAGTCTTTATAGCATCATATAAGCGTGGAATATATGGTCTTGTTCCATGCTTCATTAACTATACTTGTAATAAACTAATAATACATGGATGCATACACTCAATGATAGGTGGCATTATAAATTCAATGCAAAATTGGTCAGGACACACAGTGATGAAAATTTGACTTGAAAAATTGTCCAAAATCAATTCATTCATAGCAGAGTTTCAGTTATGAAACAGAAACCAATTTTTCATCAAGAGCCAAGGGTATAGCAATTTACATTGAATAGGGAAAAGAAATACCTGCAATGTTCAGAGTCCTTTAATATCTTGAAACGAATTCACAAATTGCATTTCTATATACCGATATCTTGCAATAAATTTGTAGAGGACATTGTGTAAGTGACACTTAAATCAATCAATCAAATATTGGTATCAAGTTATTGATAAAGAGTCCAATCTAGACCAAAGCCATGTGAAGGCCAATGTATTCAGACCCATCATTACCGCAGTGCTGTAAAATAAAAAGGACGAGTGGTAACATAACATTACACAAGTAGACACTATCACTGGTGTGACAGCTAGTACTCAATTTCCGGACATATCTTTCTTGCTTCCCAACCTCAAGTTGACATTTTGATGTGATATTTTGAAATTGATCTCCCATTTTGAAAGCACAAAGCACTCACCTAGATGGACCCTCTTCTCCACATACAGGATGACATCTTTGGCATATTTAGACCAGGCCTTGGCTCGTTCCAGCGCCAGGTCTACTCCGGCCTCTAGGTTCATTAACCAAGCGTCTATCTCCTCTGAGTTCAACTGACCTGATTATATAGAGGAATAGAATGACATTAAGAATACTATGTTGATTCATATAGTGAAGCTACTCTATGAATATACTCTACTGCATTTACTACAAATGAATCATATTTTTTACCCCTGGGGGTGTTTCACAGAGATCCTTAGTCGAACTTAACACTAAGTTGGACTTAAAAATTATGGAGAGCCATTTGTAGCCTTAAAATTAAATACTTCCAAAAGCCAAAATTTGAGTATTTTAGACTTTTAAAAAATTCCACATCAAGAAGATGAAATCTCCCATGATAATAGATAATATGAATGATTTGAATCAACATTTTATGCCCTTAAAAATAACTTTCACAAAATATTTTCAAGGATGCTAACAGCTTTCCATAATTGTTAAGTCCAACTTACAGATAAGCTCAACTTAGGATCTTTGTGAAACACCCCCCTGATGTAGCTGAGCCACCATGATAAGGCGCTAAAGCATTCAAGGAATTTCTTCCTACCAGGTACCCATTTGCTTCACCTGGGTGGAGAGCAGCAACAAAGATTAAAGAGACAGGTAGAGACAGAGAGATAGAGATAGAGATAGAGAGCAGGGTGGGAGGGAAAGAAAGAGGGAGACGGGTGGTGGATAGACAAGAGCCCATCAAACTTTTCTATGACTAATTTTTGTACATATAACATCAAAAATCCAATTGTTTTCATCATCTTTTTCTGTGATTTTTTTTTTTCTTTAGATCTACTATCCCTTGAAGTCTATACCACAGGACGGAAACACCGGTATCCCTGCTGTGAGCCAAAACAGAAAATGTCAGCAGCACCTATCCCTTCAACTGGCCTGCATACCATGATCATCATTCTAACCTTGTTACATTGTTAACATAGCATGTCCATAGGTGACTATATGCACCGGTATATGGACCAAAGTTCACTTATAAAACAGGGACAGGGGCATTGGAGTCTTGTAAGAAATGGGTACAAAATAGGCCAAGGTGCATGCATATGGACGCAGCTGAAGGAGCTACATGTAAAATAACCTCCTGAAAAGTAAGAAGAGTGTTGACTATACATTAACACTTTGATTGCCTTCTTTGCTTCTCTTCAGGGTTACTCGTTCACTACACATGCAATTTTGCACAAAACAATATACACATCACTTAATTAACAGAAGATTTCCTTTGTGCAAAAAAAACGAAATGGCCTTTTGAAATTACACATTTCTGGTCTTGATTACCCCCATGAGAACCCTTTTGACACAGAAATAGATTAATCATGTACTGCATGGAAATAGTTATATATTCTTGAAGCTTTCACTGTATCTATCTCATGATGGCAAGGGAGAATATTTATGTGGCATATAAAAGTGGAAGTATGATTTAAAGCCCTTCTTGCTCCGAACAGAGGAGATGATCTTCTTTTCCATTTTTGAAATTTGAATGAACCAAAAGTGCATGAGAAAGACATTGATAACCCTGGGCCCCGTCAAAATACAAAGAGTTGCGATTGATCCGAATCAATCGCAAGTCCTCCAATCAATCGCAAGTTTGCAGTCTCCTATCTCTTATGTACATAGTTGCGATTGATATCAACTCTTTGTAAGACGGGGCCCAGGTACTGTCTGTTCATCCCAAATACAATAGTTCCTTTAATAGTCCTCATATCTACAATGTACCAATCCCTGTTTGCCAAGTGACTATAGTCTATACTACAGCTACAATACAAGCCTGTAGTGTCTAATGAATTAAGTTATCATTCAGTACCTGTCTAGTATACTCAAAGATCAAAGCAAGTAAATTAATCTCATTGCATATGACACAACAAGACCTCTCATCAACACAATCCTAGATCATGGACAAGTGTAACAAATCTATCTGTTGGCACCATCCCCGACAGACGGACAGACAGGCACGCTGTTTGTGTGTAGAGAGCCCTTTGAAAAGGACTTGGGCTGGTATGTCTGGAATCCCAGCTATTTCCCCATCCCCCATCATCAAGAATGAACTCTCCTGACATTACCGAGCCCTACATGCTACTCTCTGGCTCCAGATGATCATAGTAACCCCGTTCATATACAAAAGGTTATCCTCCTTCTTTTTCTTTCGTATACTGTCCAACAAAAGAGATTTACCAGACAGCTAGGGTAGGGTGCGAAGTTGGTAATTCAAGACTGAGAGGGGAAAATGTTGACTTACTGTGTATTTTGCCTGGTTTGCCATAATTTCATTCATAAGAAAAAAGATTATTCTAAGTTTTCCAACATTACCAAGCTCTACTTGAAACATATGAAACCATGTATACTACCTTCTGGAGACACATAAAACCCCATTCTCACAAAAATTAGATCAAAAGGGAAACCTTACGAATTTTAGTTTCACTGATGAGAGGTAGGCCTTCGTAATGACTGAGGTTTGAAACATATCACCGGTACTTAAAATCTTTATTTCAAATGGTGCCATTCAAACTAATGTTAGGAGCCCACCCCAGTTATGCTCCTTGCCACTTTGCCAATGCCAGTTTGCTTTTTGATTGAAGAACCAAACCAAAGGTGAATCTGAGACAGGCCGACTTTGGAAAATACAATGTGTTTAACTACACTGCATGTGTATACACTATACCATCTTACTAAATGAATTATCAAGACAAATTTAGTTTACTCTCAAATATGAACTATAAAAAGACAGATATTTATGGGCCTGATTACAATCAAAACTTTATCTCAGCAATCTAAACTTCACACGCTGGTTAAGTTTTCACCACTGTGAACTACCTCATCCCGTTGCACTTCTAGTTCATCTCTCTCTCTCTCTCTCTCTCTCTCTCTCTCTCTCTCTCTCTCTATCTTTACTCTGCACATGGCCATAACCTAATTTTTATTCTCATATGCCCTGATGGGATGCACTTGCTATCAGAGAACAGCTTGTTGTGTTCATCCCGATACAATACACAATGATTGATAGAACCCATCAGATTAGAATGAATAAAGTACAGGGCTACCAAAAGGTCATCGTAATCATTGATGTGTATGGTTTGTTTGGTTGTCGTTGTAATCATTGCAGTGTATGCATGGTTTGTTTTTCATTTTGGAGATGGGAATGTCAGGTCCAACAATCTTTCTATCTCATGCTTTTAGAATTGATTAAATGACATGGTTGACATTGCCGGGGAAAGCTAAATATGAACTTCCCAAAAAAAGTAAATACTGAATAGCATTCTGAGCATGTGAAAAGTAGGCTGCTCTGTTTGTATCGTTGGCATATTGTTGTCCATAGAAAACTTCTATTACTTATTTTTATTTATTTATTTTTATGTTTTATTTATTTTATTTATTTATTTTTTTTATTTTATTTTTTTAAATATATATATATATATATATATATATATTTTTTTTTTTTTTTTTGGGGGGGGGGGGTTTCTTGTCAGTACACAGGCAAATAAAAATGGCCTACACATATAAAGTAACTAAATAGTGAGATTAGGATAACAAGAGTGACTTTTATATACTGGACATTCATTTGCAGGATTTATGCTACAAATAAGAGTGCTTGAGACATTTGTATAAAACATCTCTGAAAAGGTCTTCTATCTTACTTCTATCATATTTCTAATAAAAGAAAATTCCAGAACTGCTTCAAATATAAATAAGACAAACATGACCACAGATCTGACACACACAAATACATTTTAACAAACTGTATCGAAACTGCTTCGATCATTAATCGTACAATTGATAAACAGAAGTAATCATCATTAAGACACTGCATCCTATTTCACTTTCAATGCGAATGTTAAAAGATCTGAGGAAACCATTCTCAACTTACTTCCTTCTCTGACATCGCTCGAAGTCTCTGATTTGATATAGCCGTGTCCTCCTATGTAGTCTGGATTACTACTCAAGGATACCAGGCTGTCACAAGACTGAAAACAAAGATAGAAAACAAAGAGAAAACATTCATAATCATATTAATAATTTGATCTTATCTTCCCCGGGTAGCTCAACAGTTATAATACTGCTTTTCCTGTGAATGCAGCAATCATTGTTCTCCTGGCAGTGCCAGGTATCTATTGAATGTGTCTTTTGTTTCTATTTGTAGGAATTTGTAATAGTAAGCTTTAATGGCTGCAACACAAATTTTCAATAAACTCATACCATTATAATATCACAACAGGGTTGAGAGTGTCAAATATGACTCAAAAAGCCTTGTCCAAGGATCTAAGCACTGAGCAAGAATTGAACCAAGAACCTCTCATATGAGGATTAAGAACCTTAACAGATATACCAAGGCCCTCCTACAAAACAATTGATTATTTGCTAGTTGTTTATTTATTCATTTATTTATTTGATCATTTTTATTTTATTTATCTTTTTATATATACATCATTAACAATTAAAATTGAAATAAAAATTGTCAAAAGTTCTCTTCTTCACAATGACTGGTTTCAATTACAATTGTATTTCTTCAGATTTTCTTTCTTTAAATAAAATTGGAACCGGTCATAGTGAAGAAAAGAACTCTCAAAGATTTTTGTGAATTTTTTTTGTCATCCATACATGTATATCCCAAAACAAACATGATGTGTCTTTCTATATTCCAATTTAATTCGCTCCATTTCATCTTCCGCCCCAAGGATTGATTACGACATTTCTCCACACTTTTACAATTTCTGTCTATCCTACATTGATCACCCACACTTCCTCCAGCCCAACCAACTAGCTCAATCTTCAACCCTGGTCCATGCTTCAATGAACCTTTCAACAAACCAGCCCACCAACCAACAAACAAACCAACCCGACTAACCTGCAGCCGAATCATCCAACCCCCCCCCCCCCCCCCAAAAAAAAAAAAAAACTAGAAATTTAATTCGTCACAAAGACGAATAAGGTGGTCTGTCTTCAAGTCTTATAATAGATTATAATATTTACTATATTGAAAAAGGGAGAAGTTATATAGACATGTAAACAATGATGATGATGAATTTGATGATCTTGATAGTAATGGTGATGACGATGATGACGATGATAATGTTAATGATATTGATGATCATGAGCATGATCCTGACATCTGATTGAAAAAAAAGGAAGTATTTAGATAGCAAATAGTCCCAGCTACAACATACTAAAATTTGGGATAAAACTGTTGAATAACAACCGAGATACTGGTCAAAACACATTGTCATGCAGATTCATATTTTGACAAAAGTGACCTCCCATAGACATAACGCGCAAATATGACAAATTATGCATTGTCGCCTTTAATCGAATATTTCACTATGATGACGTCATTCAAATGAAAAATAAATGGCATATTTCTGGTAGAGAATTATCTCAGCTACAACATATCGAAATTTGGGAGAAAATCGATCACTGATAAGCGAGATAATCTCAATTAAACAAAGACAAAAATGACGTCATCAACAAAATACATTTTCTTTAGTTTAGATGCAAATATGAAGATTTTGTTTCACTTTGTACGAGTCAGGGTGGTATGAAATTATATCTCCAACTCATGCTCTTTCCAACCATGATATAACAATTGAGGGTCGACGGACTATCTAAAGAGCTATTTCGATTTATAAAGTAGCATGTTTTTGATCAAATTTACATTATATTGCCCATAGCAGCACGCGCGGAATTTGAACTTTGACGCGCGTTCACGGCCTTATGAAAGGTCAAGAGTGACTGAAATTAATGTAAATTGTCATTTACGGTAAGAGAAATCTAAATCATGTAAACAAATTGAATTTGACCTTTTCCGCGCGTTGTGAGCGCGCGCACCGCGCGCGGGGACAAGTACGGACGGAAATTTTTGAAATGCTTAAAATGACCTGATTCGTACTCTCGTTTAATAGTTAAGTGTTTTTGAGCATTTTAAAATTTTGACGCGCGCGTACGTGCGCGTCATGACCTTTATGTGACCTTTGATGACATGACTTGTTGACCCTTGACTTGAAGTATATGTGATATGAATATGAATGACCTTTGTTTATGCATCATAAAGATATGATGGATAATGTGATTTCACAAAATGGCGCCTGGATGACGTCATGATGACCTGATGACCTTGAAAAGGTTACTGTCACGTCTTATGGCAATGACCTATGACTATGCCAAAATTGAATGAAATTGACGGAACCGAACTTGAGTTATCTATGGCACAAAAAAGTGTAGGAAATAAAAATAAATAATAATAATAATAATAATAATAATAAAGAAAGAAAATTCGGACGAAAACAATAGGTGATCTGTCGTTGACAGACCACCTAAAAAAAATGAAAACACCTATTCACCACAAAGAACTATGAAAGGTACTATGTCCCATTTGCAGGTTTAAAAAAATGAATTTTAAGGTAAAACTCCAACGGCATTTGAAAGACAATGCTTATTTATAACTTCCCTCAAAATGAAAGGGTTTGAATATGGCTTTTTGTGTGAAAATAACGACCATTCGTTGTCAAATCGACATAAGTGATTGCAATCACCTTAGTTATAGTCTGATTTTTAGACCGAATGGTCATATGCTGCACAAAGATTCAAGCAGTTTAATTTTGGCCATTACAAGTAGTGGGTTATTGATGTAGACAAATGCCCATGTACCTGTTACAGCTCATTTTAGGTATGCTATTACCAAAGAAAAAAGATGTCAGTCAGTCACTCAATAGTGAGCGCGTTTATCTAGGCTTGCCACTAGATATGTACATATCGTACCCCACTATCGAACCCCACTATCATACCCCACTATACGATCGTGATTTGCGGGATGTCGCGTTTATCTACTCTTCACGATTCAAAATAAAGGCCTTGTGTCTGCCCAGCTGTTTTGACCCGGGAAGCAGACAGTTTCTCGGAGGTCAAATTCACACACATGCTTGTACACAACACCTGTGTGGTCCTATTTGTATGTGACGTTCAAAACAGCTTTGCGTTTATCGACCTCTCAGAAACGTGATTCTGGCTGTATGTCACATACAAAACGCACCTTTTTGCGTCTTTTGATATGCCCATATCTAAAGACGTTTGAAAAAGGCTTTGCGTTTATCTACTTCTAAATTTGCCTGAAAGACGTTTGAGAAACCTGATTCTAGCCAAAAAATTTCCTAGATAAACGCAACCAGTGTCTGACAGGGAAGTCTAGAAAGTAAACGGGTTTCCTTGCATAATTTGAATATTAGGACACTGTTAACGTTTAAATTTCACAGATAGGACATACATGACATATTCACAATTCCTGGAAAGTTCTACAGAATTTGATGTTGGCTGCGAATGGGACATGGTATCTTTAAAACAAATTGCTCTTACCTTTGATGCGAAGCCTAGGTGCATTGAGGTCTGTTCTACATCACCCATGAGATACTCTGTAACGCTGTTACTGAAAGCAAGAGCCAGAGCATCAATGGCTTCAAACAAATGGCCCTTGTCTTTCTCCTCATTGTTGCTAGTAAGACCTGCAAATAGTTTTTAAAAAAAATAGAATATATTCATGTAAAATCAAAGATTTAATATATGCACTTAGTTGTATTTCAAGTAAAGTGATATTTGGGGGGAAATCCCCTTGGCTTGCCTTCAAGTAGATCTGCTTTTTTAATAGACCACTCGAGAAAATGTGTGTGTTGAAATATTTGAAATTAATAAACTCCTTGTATACTGGTGACATTTTTTTTAAACAAGGGAGTTTCATTTGACAAGCAGAAATGAGATTGAGAATATTCTCATTTATAATGAACTAAAAGCTTCAAACCATAATCATAATATTTTTTCATCATTTACAAGAGAATACTTTTTCATTTTTTCAAACAAGCAAAATATAAGTACATAAAATCAAAGACTTCATACATGCACAGTGATATATGAATACAAATCCTCTTTGGCTTGCTAACAAGTAGATATGCTTTTATAACAGACTCATCAAGAAAATAAGTTTGTTGAAATAGTTATAGTATTAAACTGCTTGTACTAGTGATATTTATGGAACAAGGGAGTTTGAAATGCAGTTATGGGATTGAGAATATTCTTATTTAGGTTCAAACAATAATCTAAATACTTTTCAACATTTCCAAGTGCATACTTTTTTCCTGAAATTCTATATTTCAGTCTTTCTGACTTCTTTGGCATTAAAATAGTTTTAAGGAAAATTCATTAACAATATGAATGAAGAGTATAAAAGCATATATTGTCATATTTTTCATGAATCATATGACAATATATGCTTTTATACAATACTATTCATGAAATGTTAACCAGGAATGCGATGGGTAATATATACCTTTAATTTGAGCTATGAGTACCACGGCTGCTGTATGCACATCCGTTGATTTGAGAGCTGTATACTTGTCTAGGATTCCACGTAGGATGTTGAGAAGGTCTCGTAGTCTCTCGTGGGCAGACACACGTATGGTCTCTGTGCGTTCTGAAGGTAATGATGTTAAGAAGTCAGTTAGAATGACAGGGTGTAATATCAAACATTTCAAATGTGTTCAAATAGACAAACTTATTAGATTAAATGGCATCCCCCTTTCCCCCTATTCTGTAGTTCCTTTTGTAGTTACGAACTTGTTAATTTAATTACTCATTATTCCTAAGTATCATTTGACAGGTCCACAATTGTACAAACATTGCTTTTTAGTGGATCCCTCTGTTTCTAATATTTTTTCCTAAATTGTTCTAAATGTTTATAATTGATAAGTACGGTAATGTTTTGGTGGAAACATAAATAATATGAAATTAAAATTGAATTGAATGGCTGATCACATATGGAATATTGATGTTATGAAACCATAAATATGGTCTATATGCTTACATACAGTACTCATAGAAATGAATGGTGTTTAAGAAGCACCTATTTCTTGGGACCCAATATCTTTGTCGACATGTACATGGACCTATTGTTATTATTATTAGGTGGTCTGTTATCAACAGACCACCTATTGATTTCGTCAGAATTTTCTTTATTATTATTATTATTATTATTATTATTATTTATTTTTATTTCTTCCCGTTTTTTGTGCCCCGGATAACTCAAGTTTGGTTTAGTTAATTTCAATAAATTTCGGCACACTTATCGTTCATTGTCATGAGACATGACATGAACATTTTCAAGGTCATTAGGTTATCGTGACGTCATCCATGCGCCATTTTGTGAAATCACGTTATCCATCATATCTTCATGATGCGTACTCAAAGTTCATTCATATTCATATCACATGTACTTCAGGTCAAGGGTCAACAGGTCATGTCATCAAAGGTCACATAAAGGTCATGACGCGCGCGTACGTGTGCGTAAAAATTTTAAATAGCTCAAAATCACTTAACTATTAAAGGAGAGTACGAATCAGGTCATTTTAAGCATTTCAAAATTTTCCGTCCGTAAGTGTCCCCGCGCGCGGTGTGCGCGCTCACAGCGCGCGGAAAAGGTCAAATTCAAAATATTTACATGATTTAGATTCCTCTTAACGTAATTGACAATTTACATTAATTTCAGTCACTCTTCATATTTCATAAGGCCGTGAGCGTGCGTCAAAGTTCAAAATCCGCGCGTACTGCTATGGGCAATATAATGCAAATTTGATCAAAAACATGCCATTTTAAAAATCGAAATAGCTCTTCAGATAGTCCATCGACCCCCAATTTTTATATCATGGTTGGATAAAGCATAAGATGGAAATATGATTTCATACCACCCTGACTCGTACAAATTGAAATAAAGTCATCATATTGGCATCTAAACTCAAACATATGTATTTTGTTGATGACGTCATTTTTGTCTTTGTTTAATTGAGATTATCTCGCTTATCAGTGATTGATTTTCTCCCAGATTTCGATATGTTGTAGCTGAGATAATTTTCTATCAGAAATATATCATTTATTTTCATTTAGATGACGTCATCATAGTTAAATATTCGATTAAAGGCGACAATGCATAATTTGTCATATTTGCGTGTTATGTCTATGGGAGGTCACTTTTTTCAAAACATGAATCTACATGGCAATGTGTTTTGACCAGTATCTCGGTTGTTATTCAACAGTTTTCTCCCAAATTTTAGTATGTTGTAGCTGAGACTATTTGCTATCTAAATATTTTCTCATTTTTTTTTCAATCAGATGTCAGGATCATGCTCATACTCATCATCGTCATCATCATCAATATCATCATCATCATCATCATCATCATCAATGTCACCATCATCATCATCACCATGGTCTAAAGATGATGATCATTAACATCACCATGATCATGATCATTATCATCATCATCAGTAACATTATCGTTTTGATCATCATATAACATTATCATTATCATGATCATCATCACCTTTACTATCATGATCATCATCATGTTCATCATGATCATCATTGTTTACATGTCTATATAACTTCTCCCATTCTCAAATCTCATGAGACATAGACAGACCACCTTATTCGTCTTCGTGACGAATTAAATTTCTAGTTATTGCTTTAAAGTCATTTAATCACTTGATATCATTGGTATGTGATCAGACCTTTATATTTTCTCATGTTCTTCCATCCAAAAGAATGGAGCTGAAGAAAAACGATTCTCATAAAACTCAATTTGTACGCCTTTCCAGAACTCAAACCTCTTTCTAATACTGCAATGCATTATCATAATATACTTGACACATTGCAAGAACTCAACATAATACATTAATTTGTTACCTTTAGGAAAATCAATTCATTACTATCTACTCAGCATCAATAGGCAAATAACCTCATTCAAGAGAAACTCTATGATCCAGCCGCACTCATTAAACCTTCAAGGCAGCTCTGACAAAAGAAGTCCATTTAATCTATTTAGCTCATCACACCTATATAAAGACACCTTAAAATTGGTTTTTCAAAGGGGAGGATGGGGGGCCTCTTTGATCCTCCTTGGACCGGCCACCTAGATGGGACCTAGTCCACTGCCTGGACTGTTCTCTACATGATCCGTGCTCGCTCACATATCATATTAGTACACCATAATATACACGTACGGACACACATCCTGAGAGTTTTTCTTCGGGGAAGGTGAATTCGTGGGGAGTACGCATATCATACACGCGCGCGCATTCGGGAAAGGGCAACAGATTAAAACGACCATAAGCTGGTCTAGATGGGACCTAGAGGGGAGGGTCATTCCACCCTCTCCCCTTGAGACCATCGTCATATAGCCCGTTCAGACGGAAGGAAGTTTACACAAAAATCGTATAAGAAAACACCATATAGTGAAAGGAGCGTACAAAGTAGAAAATGATAATGTATTTATAAAGAAACTTATTTTGATGAGGCCAACTGACATGAGAGCTGGCCAATCATCAGTGCGCGCTCCCAATAAGCCCCGCCCACTTGTACAATTTTTGTACGATACAGCAATCGGACTAGAGCTGGACCCTGATTTTTTGTCGAGTTTTCTTTCAAAATGATGCTCAAACATGCGTCTACAACGTTTGGCGTTCAGACTAGATAAAAGGTAAGTACTCATCATATACAACTGTCATAGAGCAATACAATTAATTCTGGTAATCTGAACCCAGACCTAGATTCTTGAGACCCATTGAACAGTGCCTTAGGGTACATTCACCTGATGGACGCATTAATGTCGGTTCACTGACAGGGCGCACAGGCTCGTCTATTCATCTGACACGCCCGATCTCATAAACCTATTCTCAATGCCTCGATTTCCATTACAATCTTTTGTTTTCTCTCTTAAAGATAAAGTTGAGTTCTGGTCATGAGATTGCATTGTGAAAGAAACGTTGTGGAAACTGGAAAGGATCAGAAAAGGTTGATCATCTAGTATATAAGTATTTATGTGTATTGCAAGGTTCTGGAATCATCAAAATGCTAAGAAATTTGGCCCAGTCTTGGTAAAGTTACAAGCAATGTACACAGAAAGATGTATATGGGACTAAACGAACACGTGGCGAAAAAATCTGTCCCGATTTTTATGATGTTACATGCCATGTTTAGAATATTAAGGCATTTGAAGAGCCATGCTTTTCAGGGAACATCTTTTATCTGATGTTCTTTCACACTTGCGTAACACAATGATAACGCTCACAAATTATTTTTCAGAACTTCCCAGAACTCAACCTTCTCTTTAATGCTCTCTCTCACTCCTCTCACCCATCCCTCCAAACACTGCTCTTCATTGTGATCATGTATCCATTAAGTGCACATACATGGAGCTATGAATAATAAATCATCTGCTCTAATCCACTAGAGTACTATCATTTAATGTAGGATTAAATTAATATTTCAATCCCTTCCATAAAATAGGCACGAAACTTTCTCCGACAATCAATACCCAAAAGTAACTCTATCTCTCTCAATTGCATCCCCATCTCTCCCATTCCCATCCGCCTTGTTGTTATAAAACTCCATTAGTGCACACAGCCCATGAATTTTTAATATTTCAATTCCTCCCATCAAACGTTCTCGCAGATTAATCCGGGATTACTGGGAACAATGCTAACAATTCCAACCTAATAACAAACCTATCACTCGAAGCTTAAGAGGTGGCAGACCGACATCAATTCAATACCACTTCAAAATGGCCTAAACCAAACACTAAGCTTTCTTCTGAACACTAATGTCACACTTTACACGCCTGCAGCTCAAAGGGCCCAATCCATATATTGTATCAATTCTATTGAACAGGAGAGGCCCATGTAGTCTAGTGATGCAGACTTGTTTTTTTGTTATTTCTAAATTAATTTATTGGTACATGTAAGCAAATAATACATGCCCGTGTTTCCTTGAGGGAATAGAGAGATAGAAAATTCAAGATAAAAATGAGAAACATGGAAAGAAAAAGAGAGGGTTAGAAAATAAGAGAAGTTGAAAGAGAGAGTGAAAGAGACAAAAAGAGATACTTTTTGTTTGGATATTAATAAACTTAAACTTCAAACTTCATGTACCAGGGAAGGGGGGGGGCAGGGATGCTATAGGAAAACACAAGAGTAATATGATGAAAAGATAGAAATGTGATAGATGGAGAGGGGGCCTATTATATCATGACTCTCCAGTGTGTTGTTTGTATTAAACAGCCAACAGGCTTCATTATAGTTTTACCTACTGTTTGAATTGTTTGTTTTGAACAGCAAGATAAGGTTCAATGAATAAACATTGAAGTATTTGAAAAAGTGCTTTCAATTAGCTCATCATCCACAATTTTTAAGAAAAAAAAGGGTATCATATAATCATCACCCGTATATCTAAGGGTACATTTAAGCTCAGTTTTGAAGGCAGAATAAGCGATTTGAAACGCTCATCGTAATCGCAGTTCCACGGTGTACTGTTTATGCTCACTTCTCTTGCTCCTCCAGGCAATTCTGGCTGGGTGGCCTTGCAGCTGGATTCGCAAACCTGCAGAGCGCATGCTACATAGACCCACTAGAGGTCAGTGCGTTGAC